ACTCATAACATAAATAGTGAAAAGTGGGTGTTACATTGTACAGTGGCATTAAGTGCCGAAATGTGCACCTCTGCCTACCCCTTCGGGGATAAAAATGCGCGATGGTATGTTATGTATGACTTCATTTGTTTTAAATGGTCAATGCTAGTGACTATTAACGTCTTTAGGTTTTGCATCGACTTTCTAAACATCCTTTATGTAGGACGATATAATTATGTATATATTCTCCTAAAATGATAAAAGTGGCCTTAGTATTTTCAGTAATCACCCGAAAACCATCTCTTAACCAATAGATACATACTTACCTACCTACTACCTACATAACCTAAACTAACCGGTTACTTGTACCGTAAGGTGTCACACATAGGGTAATGAAAACCAAATGCCATCTATCTTAGATTAGGGGTTCCTTAAAAACGGGCATACACTGTTTAGGTACTTGCTATGCATTTATAAATAAATACAACAACTTGTGGATTTTACATTCTTAAGCATCGTGTGAGAATAAAGGCCGCGACTCATTGCATAGCTACCGGTCGGTTAATTAAAGCCACATCGGTACAGTCAAACACAAGTACATAGGAGCCTAAAGCAGCTTTACACCGATTAAATTAACTCTTGGATCCTCAGTAAACCAGGGGCGTTTCTGACACGGTTACAGGGCACCTTGCCACCCAAACCGGGAGGTTTCGAACGACATACTGTATCTAGTTAGACAGTAAAAGGACCCAGTACTTCAGCTACTGAACCCATGTTCGATAGCAGGGATGGTCAACTTTGATTTGTTTAAAGAGCTATTAGGTATAATAAAATTGTAAAAGTGTGTCTGTAGGTACATTAAATTATGTTTCAATATAACGAAAATAACGTGATTAGGAAACAATCCGAATTTGGTGATTCCAAACTTATAAATATATTTTATGCCCAGGTTTTTAAAAAATTCTCAGTAGTAGCACGGAGTCTGGAATTGTGCCCGGTATATGGCAATAGGCTCACCCCCTATTACATGGGACTCATAACATAAATAGTGAAAAGTGGGTGTTACATTATACAGTGGCATAATGTGCACCTCTGCCTACCCCTTCGGGGATAAAAGGCGTGATGTTATGTTATGTTATGTTTCCTCACAATTCCACGAGGTTTCCTCCTTTACCTTTGTTCAGTAATTTTTTTATGGTATAAGCCGGTAAACGAGCAGAATGATCACCTGATGGTAAGCAATCGACGTTGCCCATAGACACAAGTGCGTTACCGGCGTTTTGGAGATTAGGAATTTGAGAATTGTTGGGGATTCAGTGATTGGCCAGATTAGGGAAGGGGAGGAGGGTATCTAATTGGTGTCTAAATAATCTCAGTACAATTTACAAATTGGTCATCCCTGGTTAAAAGCAACAATTTAAGGAATTTTTTCGATAATTTTAGGATTGAATGTTTTAACTGAACATGATTTGGGCGGGTTTCGGTGTAGTCCAAGGGTTTTCAATGTAGGTGTACTCCCTTAATTTATTTGTGGGTGAAGAATTTATTTTTAATTTATGTTTCTTTTTTGGTGATTAATGTTTGAATTTGAAATTTATAAGGATGGTAACGCACTTCTACCTCTTCCACTGTTGTCCTATAACTTAACAATACTTTTTTTTTTTCTCCGAAAATTATAGACGAGGGTTGACATATTAATAATAGGGTGGTATTTAATACTTTATCTGTTAATTTCCTATTTTGGACACCTAACCTATTTTGGAAATTCCGTTGTAATATTGAACAATTTGTGTGCAAATCAGTATTTTTGTTTTACGGTAAGTAATATGTAGTTAATTTGTATTACAGTAACTTTTTTGATATGCAGTCGGTTATTAGTGTGTAAAAAAATCCCCTTAAACTGTCAAACACCAAGCGGTCACCGGTGACCGCGACCTATTGTTCTTTAATTGTGTCTATAAAACCGGTTCTCGACGAGTTAATAATAACAATTCAAAAATCAAAATATGTTTTACGTTATCCGAGGATTGAAACCGCGATGACTCGGTCAGCAGTCGCAGTGTAAGTCGACTAACAGGTCAGTAAAAAAGCGCTTTCTTCTTAATCAAAGAAATTTTAACTTTTTTATTTCCATCATTGAAATGTTAACAGCTTGCTCGTTTGTTGAGACGGAGAGTCGATCCTGCATACTGAGTAACTTCCGTCACTTCGAACAAGATTTACGATGCAATGGAAAAATTTAATTTACATCAGTCCTCTTGGAAATCGTAAAAATATGTTTCTTCGTTGAGTTTCTCTTTGCATAATTTCACATCGATGATGGTGCTCTTATGCCAATTCTTTTTATATCTCAAAAGTAGGTACGGTGGCCAATAGGCCAACCTATCCTTTTGTTACATTTTCAGCTTTATTCCATCGACAAGAAGTCGAAAATACAATTAATAAATTTGATTTAATTTTATTTGGCAAAAAAATATTATTTTTGAAAAAACTCAATGTTATCTGAAATGTAACCTGGGTGTATTCAAAGCCGGTGTGAATAGGTTGCTTATGGCATGGCGACGTGCTCCATCGTAGACCGCTTCATCGCTTACCACCAGGCGAGATAGTGGTCAAACGTCGGCAGATCAAAAATATATATATAAAAAAAGAAACGAACGAAACAACTCTGTGTGATGCACCAATAGGGTAGATGCCTAATTTCTATTTAAATGTCCGTCTGGTAGATTATGTTAAATCATTAGACACGTATTTTTTTATTTTCTTACAGAAACCAATACTTACGTTCGACGATATATTGATTTGAAATGTCGCGTGACGTCACTTCTATGTACATTTTATACATAGAAATGACGTTTTAACCCCCACTCCTAAACTTTGTTTCGTTTTATCTACGTATTGTTTTATTATACGACAAAATAAAAAAATACCTACGTGTCTAATATTTTTTAATTACCTAACTTACGGACTAATTAGATTTTTAATTTTCATCCCCTGTCATCATCCCAATTGTTGTTCCGGATCTATGTATGTTATTGTATGTTTATAAACGCACCCACGACACAGAAAAATCTTAGTAAAGGACCACGTTTCAAGATTGCACGGTTGGTGCGTTGGCTGGGCAACCGGCTGCTGCGTAACGTGTCGCGGGTTCAATTCCCGCACGAAGCAACTCATTGTGTGATCTCACAAATTGTTGTTCCGAGTCTGGGTGTCACGTGTATTTAAACTTGTATGTTTGTAAACGCAACGTTTAAAAAAGATATAAACAAAAAGTGAAACAAATTAAGATTAAAATCAAGTTAGTAGGAAATTGCAAGTAGCAAAGTGTAAGAGACAGTAAAGTTCAAATAGTTCAGACAGTTCAGGTTCGACTAATTATATTAGTTCGCCGGACGCGACGCTCGCTGCAAACCTAATTTGCTATAATTGTTACATTTGTCTCAACTCCACTTAGTTATTTATTTTATACAGAAATTAGATGCGTTTTACCACTTCTTACCTGGTAAAGTGTTATTGGGTTTTTGAATAATGTAAGTAGGTATGTAGGCATTGTAGGAGAATTGTATCAGAAAAATTATAGTGCCGCGTTTGATAAACCGCCAAGTCTACTCAAATTGTCGCGGAGAACCTAACGGGTTACCGGGGCTCCGGCCCGACGTGCAGGAGAAGGAACGGGGTGGTTTTTAGTCAGTAAGAGTCTGACACTCCCGCCTCACCCAGGCGGGAGCAGTCATTCGATGATTTTCCCCCCTTAAAAAAAAATCTACTCAAATTACTATTGCAATTCAAACTATTTTTTTGTATAAGGTGTAAATGGATATATAAAATAATTATTTAATTATTTTTAAGATATGGCAATAGGCTCACCCCCTATTACATGAGACTCTTAACATAAACAGTAAATAGTGGGTGTTACATTGCAGTGGCATTAAGTGCCGTAATGTGTAACTCTGCCTAACCCCTTCGGGGCTAAAAGGCTAAAGTCTGGCAAACGAAAGTAGAGACTGAAAAAGCCCGGCAAATTTAAAAAATGTCAGTATAGCAACCCAAAAATTAGTATGTCATACCTGGAGTAACCTAATTTGATACTTCATAATACTTTGTTTGTTTGTTACGTCTTCACGTCTGGTTACTCCAGGTATGACATACTAATTTTTGGGTTGCTATACTGATATTTTTTAAATTTGCCGGGCTTTTTCAGTATCTACTTTCGTTTGCCAGACTCTATATGTTCTTTTTTATTATTCGTCTGGTAAATTATTTTAAAGCTTTGGATAAGTATTTTTTTACGAATGCGACAACTTTTAACCACATTTATATCGGTTAAAAATATCGCGTGACGTCACTTCTAGGTTTTATGCTTAGGAATGACGTAGTTAGCTCCCACTTCGTTTTATTAAGTACGAATTAACTTTATTAAGAATCCCGTTTTTCCCATTCCCATAGAGTTTTGGGAAATTTTTGGATAAGAAGTATCCTAAAACGCCTCGTTGTCAGCCGATTTAGCCGTTCTTGAGTTATAAATAGTGCTACACTATCATGACTTTATTGTATAAAAATTTTAGATTGTTTTATTATTCTCAATATCTGACGGACTAAATAAACTATTAATTTATTACCGTGTCGTCATCCCTATTACTTTTTTGATCATGTTTGCGGTTGTTAGGACAAAACTTGTATGAAAAAAAATTGGTTGCCTGTAAAGTCGGTATACGGGCGAAAGTTTTACGTGACAACGACTTTGAGTGGTGTGCCTTTCACTTTTTATGTCTGTCTCTCTCGCTCTTAGGCGGGCTAACCATGCCCGAGTGGAAGGGACGCGTGCCTCTCACTCGCTCTCATTGTGAGCGCATAACGTGAGCGGAGCGTAACTCAGTTTCTTGAAGTGTCACCCGGCAAACCAATTTATAAGACGTTGTCACGTCAAAAAAATCGACACATTCACCGGAAGCATTGGGAAATACCAAGCGAAGCTGGGAGGCTGGGACAGACCACTAGTGTAAATGAAACAATATATATTATTTTCTATTATTTATTTGAAAAATATTACAAATTAACAATAACAATTATACTATAAATAACAATAACAAATATATTTCATTACAATAACAACCGAGGATGATCACCTGGCAATACATTGACAGCATTTATTCCCCAAAGGGGTAGGCAGAGACCAGTAAATGAAAGTAACATTCCGTATCTAATAATGAGTATCTTAGTAATCAATTCAATTACGCTACATCATAATCGGTAATAATGCCGATAGAATAATTATACGACAAAAAATCGGGAATCGAACCCGTAACTTGTTGCTAGTCTGTGGCGTTTGGTTACTCAACCAAAAAGTTACTTCGTTGTGTGTAAACCTCAAATATCGTAAACTAGCTTATGTCAATGGCTTTGCCCGCGGTCCCGTGGGTTAAGAGTAGCCTATATGTCAATCAAGACCGTAATCTTCTGTACCAAATCTCATCCCGATACTTTGAGCTGTTTGACGTGAATTAAGTAACAAACAGATAGACATAGGCTATTTTTTTAAACGTTGCCCCAAACTCCATGTAGCGTTTACAAACATACAATTGACATATACATCATAGCCAGACCCAGAACAATCTGTTGATAATACAGAGTTGATCCAAAAATCGAATCCACGACAAATTACTTGACTGCGTTGGTTGGTGCAGAGGTTGGGCAACTGGCTGCCGCGCAACGTGTCGCGGGGATCGATTCCCGCACGGAACAATACTTTGTGTGATCCACAGAATGTTGTTTCGGGTCTGGGTGTAATGTGTATGTAAACTTGTATGTTTATAAACACACCCACGATACAGGAGAAAATCCAAGAGTGGGGCAACGTTTTAGAAAAAAAAACTCAACAACCACTTGCCCAACCACTGCGCTAACAGAGCAATCAAAATTCATCATTCCTTACAAAAAAACGTGTGAGAGAGCCATGCTTCAGCACGAATGGGCCGGCTCGACCGGAGTCGAGAGAGGTACCACGGCCTCACATAATAACCGGCGTGAAACAACGCTTGAGTTGTTGTCACGTGTGAGTGAGGTTACCGGAGGCACAATTAAGCCCCCCCCCCACCCGCCTACTTGTAACGTCTCTGGTGTTCTAGGTGTCCATGGGCGACGCCGATTGCTTACCATCAGGTGATCCGTCATATACCAGCATATACATATACCAGGCATATACCATGAATAAAAAAGGTTTCTCTTTTAATACTAATTCTAATAATCGAGAGCACAAAACAGGGCCACGCCCCTTTTGATCCAATGTTGTTGAGGCTTGTGCGTGGTCAGTTCGATGGTCATCACGTAGTTCGTAGAGTGTCCAGTGGTGGACAATGTACCAGCTCGAAGTAAGGTCTTATATGTCGGGCACTCGTATAGGTTCGGCTGGAGACGGTGATTTTGTTCTGGTTTCATATATAAAATCGCCATTTCTGTTGACAAATAACATTATAAAGGTACTGAAAATAGAAAATATACTTATTATGTGGTAGGGGAAACACCGTTGATCTCATGACCATAAACTCAGTATTATCTCTTTTTTATGGATTAATGTTAAGTTTTAGTAACAAAGTAGGAGAACTTAAAAGATCATATTTTTCTTTATTTACTTATGTATTTTTTGTTTCTTTATTTTTAGTCAATAGTTAAGTTTGTGTATGCTCTCTTTTTGGTACATAGATTTAGTTTTAGACCTAAACTATCGCAATGGTGAAAACTGTAATGATAGTTTTAGGTAAGGTTTTAAATCCTTACTAATATTATAAATTGGAAAGTGAGTTAGTTTGTTTGTTTGTTTGTTCCGCTTTCACGCCGTAACTACTAAACCCATTGCTTTGAATTTTTGCAGACGTAAAGTTAGAAGTCTGGATTAAATAATAGGGTACTTTTTATCCCGGAAAAAATTGATATTCTCGAGGGAAAATAAAAGTAGTGGTATAGATGGCGTTGTGTGTATTGGTATATGTCAAGGCTACTTTTTATCTTTTTGTAACGCGAGCGAAGCCGCGGGTAAAAGCTAGTAAATAAATAAATCCTAAAAAGTCTTACCGATATGCAGTTCCTTAGGTCTGCTCTCTTCCAAGGACATATCACTCGCGTTCCACCGCGCGCCCTCGAGGTACAGCCCGCGGACACAGCATCCGTCCTCGGGCTTCTTAGTTGGAGGCTGTGGTAGAGCCTACAACATACATACGACATTTGACATTCAAGAAACGATTGTACTCCTTTTAAAATGCCGACTACGCATTCGTGAGTGCTGTGGTGTTTCTTGCGTTACAAGCGCGTTACCGGTCTTTTGGGAATTGGGAATGCTTCGGCACGAATGGGCCGGCTCGACCGGAGTGATACCACGGCCTCACAGAAAACCGACGTGAAGCAACGCTTGCGTTGTGTTTCGTCGTGTGAGTGAGGTTACCGGAGGCCTAATTACCCTCCCTTTCCCCAATCGCCTCAATCCCTGAATCCCCAACGATCCTCAAACTCCTAATCCCCAAAAGGCCGGTAACGCATTTGTAAAACGCCTCTGGTGTTCCAGGTGTTCATGGGCGATGCCGATTGCTTACCATCAGGTGATCCGTCTGTTCGTTTACCGGCTTATGCCATAAAAAAAAACATTGTCTATCTCATAGAACATACCTCAAACGCGTAGGCAACAGTGTCGATGGCAATCACATGCTTTCTAGCGTAGTTCTGCAGAGCTCCCGTGAGGAACGCCTGCGGGAAGTAGAAGCCAGATATCCAGAACACCTTGGGAATGCCATGTGCTGCCCAGTCCTTCATGAATAGCACTCGAAGACATAGGTCCTTTACCCAAGCAGCTGGAAGAGTAATGGAATCATATAACCCACGGTTAAAAAAGACTACCGCGCAACGTGTCGCTGGTTCGATTCCCACGACTCTTTGTGTAATCACAATCCACAAGTTGTTGTTTCGGGTCTGAGTGTCTTGTTTATGTGAACTTATATGTTTGTAAACGCACCCACGACACAGGAGAAAACCCTAGTGTGGGGCAAGGGTTTTATAAAAAAAATATTTGTCACAGCTGAGATCTCATCAGCATGACTAGGTATCCAATGTAAAGAATCCGATGATTGCGCGGAAAGATAATACAAAAGTAAGACCACAATAAACTGGGTAACTGTACAGTGTTTTTTTTTTTTTACTAGCTTCTACCCGGACTTCGCGCAATCCCGTTTTCTCCCGTTCACATAGGATTTTCAGGATTTTTTTATGCCTTAAGAACCTTCTCCTAATAATAACAAATACAACAAAACAAAGAATTAGTGAAATCGGTCCAGCCATTCACGCGTGATGCCGTGACCAAGGGAAAAAGGAATTCATAACATAACATAACATCACGCCTTTTATCCCCGAAGGGGTAGGCAGAGGTGCACATTATGCCACTGTACAATGTAACACCCCCTTTTCACCATGTATGTCATGAGTTCCATGTAATAGGGGTGAGCCTATTGCCATATACCGGGCACAATTCCTGAGTCCGTGCTACTACTGCGAATTAAAAAAAAAACCAGTAATACTTTGTCCGACTCGGCAATCGAACCCGAGACCCCTTGCCCGGCAGTCGCACTAGCGACCACTCGACTAACGAGGCAGTCGGCAAACGAGGATTCATTTAGGTACATATATATATATAGATAGATGATAGGATGGCGTTTGTCCACCACTTTGCCTAGTCGTGTATAAATGAAACTTTTATTGCAAAAGTCTGGCGATAAAATGAATAGTTGAAGACATACCGAGGGGTTTCAATGAAGGATATGCTTTAGAGCTCCACATCACGGGCACAACATTTTTGGATAGACTTCCAGCCATATTCTCCAGCGCTTCGGACATAACCACCAAACCTTTCAAGGCTTTCAGGAGATCCCTGAACACATACACACATTCGATTTCATTTAATGTTACATTTTGTACTGACACAATGATCAACTGGCGAACCTATTCCTTTCTGTCAAATTTCTTTTTTTAGATTTACAACTGTAAATTGATCATTCATACAATAAAAATTTACACATTAAAGTAGATTCACAGCTGCTGACCACTGCCCTCGAAGTACATTATCAAGAAATGACAATTAATATTATAAGTCATACATACTTAAAGAGGCCATACACGCTAGGTTTTGCATGATGGTTTTAGCCTAAACAGTACTGTGTAAGTGACTAAACTGTACAGTTATCGGTGCATGCAAAGGTCAAAAGTCCACTGCCACCGTGAGTGATGTTCAAACGGCAATGCGTAAGTAATTTCATATTAATGTGCATAAAAACGCGTGCGTACGCATAAACACACGCACGCGTACGCACACGGATAGAAATATGCGTGTGCATGTCTGTATAAGCGCTGCAGCGCAACCGATAGTTATCTTACGGTGGTAGTGGACTTTTGACCTTTGACCGTACATGCAAAACCTAACGTGTATATGATTAAACTGTACAGTTATCAGTGCATCGGTGCTTGGTTATGTTTGTCGGTTATGCATGCACGGCTAAAACCATCATGCAAAACCTAGCGTGTACAGTCTCCTTTAGGGGTGCTTTAAAAAAATATGTCAAACGGTTTTAATGAGCTCCATTCCACCAATGAATTCTTTTTGTTTGATATACATAACGGAGGTTGTTATAAATTGCAGGGATAAATAGATTATAATATTGCAGGGTCATCAAAAGAGTGTATATCAAATGTCAGATCGACCTAACATTAATAAAATTCCAATTATTCATTATTCAAGTTCATCAATTGTCCCAAAAATAAACAAACAAATTAAAAAAAACAAACTAAATAAAAATAGTCTCATTGGCGGTGGCACGTGCAGTGGATCGCTCGATTCCCTACAGTATGGTTGAGTTGGGCGGTGCTGGGGTACGTGTCATGTTCGTGGACGGGACCGTCAACTGGGACTAAGACTCTCCAGACTCCAGACTAGGTATATTATTTTATTGTATTGGGGACCTGATGGATAAACGGTAACCTATAGAGTTCCTTTCTCGTTCTTCTCCATAGGAATCTACACCTTGGAATGAGCAAATAGCTTCACTATAAATTCTTTGTTGACGTTTAAAAGTGTCTACCTGGTTTAATTGATATAAATAATCTTAATTTGACTTAAATAAGATCGTTTAATTAAAAACTTACTGCAAAGAGGACTTTATGACGCCCAGCAGTTTGTTATAGCGATTAGCTTCTTGTATCAATACAGTATTCAAAGATTCTTTGTACGACACTGGATATCTGTCAAACAATAATTATGTTATGTAATGTTGGATCCCGTATATGCCCAAGCGGTCACCGGTGACTGCTCTCCACTACATTATAGACGTTATTTCCAATGTTTAGAGACTACTTTTGTATGAACAAATTTAGAAAACTGGAAACACAGTATCCAGCGATAGATATTGCACGTCGATGTTTGGAGAGCGACTATTTTGTATGATTTTACAATAATTTATTTGTGTTTTTTATGATTCGAAGAGTGCTCAACAACTGACAAGTTTTAGCGATTCATAATCTGTGCCTTTAGCCAAACACCACTTTAGCGCTTGTCTACAGAGAGAGTAGAAATCAAAATGTATGGGGATGACACTGACAAGTGTCAAAATTTACGTCAATTCCATATAATTTGGTTTTCTATTCTACATGTAGACAAGCGATAAATGGCATTTGGCTACAGCTGCAGGAGCAGTATACGCGGTGACATGCCGATTATCTCTTTCCAAAAATCGATGACTGAAGTGGTGATGGGCAAGCCACGTCGCTCGACGGACTGATGGCAGATGGGCCAGGAAAGTCCTCGAGTGGAGACCATGGACCGGAAGGCGAAGCGTGGGCAGGCTTCCCGCTAGGTGGACCGACCACCAGAGTTGCGAGGAGCCAGTGGATTTAAGTGGCGAGTTGTCGTTCGACCTGGAGGATCAAGGTGGAGGCCTTTGTCCAGCAGTGGACGTCTTTCGGCTGTTGATGATGATGATGAAGAGTCAATGTGCAATATTTATCGCCGGCTTCTGTATTACCAGATGTACTTAAATATTGTAAGCTTTTTTACTTTTAATAGGGTAGATGAATAATTTTTATTTCAATGTCCGACTGGTAGATTGTTTTAAAACATTAGACATGTATTTATGATAACCTTACAGCAACAAATACTTACGACGATATATTGATTTGAAATATCGTGTGACGTCACTTCTGAACGTTTTGTACGTAGAAATGACGTTTTGGCTCCCACCAATTTCGTGCGACAAGGCGTCTATCTTAAAAATCGAAATCGCATGCGAATTCGCATAGCATCGTATCGCAGTATTGTGTACGAGCACTCGTGCATTAAAGTGTAATAAAAATTCGGAAATAAGTACAAAGTTCTTACGTTTTGGAGATATGATCGGTATCGAGAAGCTCGGGTAACACTTTGATGATGTCCTTAGCAGCTTGTTCGATTATTGTCTCTATGGAGGCACCGCCTGCAGCCACAGCCTCCTTCGGTTGCAGGTCTCGAAGAGTGGCTTAACAACGATTCACATTATTACACTTCTTACTTTAAGTCGTGTGGTGAGGGCAAAGTAGATTACATTTGTCGGCACCAGTACTGTACCGACAGGTGTTGTAAGACTACTACGTGAGTACTATTATAGAGACCAGGCAATAACGCTCTTTGATACCTTGTTCAACTGCAATCTCCAGCCGACCTGCATAGCTTGAAGATAAAAACTCGTGTTTTATAGAGGACGTTCACAGTCCAGCAGTATGTTTTCACATTCTGTTGTTTATGTATATAGTGTATAGTGTACACAATGCGTAGTACTTTAATCGTAAGCAGGACTCATTTTTAACAATAGCGCCATCTAGTTTCGATCAACAGAACTATTATGACAAACGGAGAACTACTCGACACCAGAAATCGCGACCGACGGACGTTCTGTTAAATCTGTTCAAGGCAGGATAGACATTCAAATTATTCATATTAATACGGATTTGCTTTGTAGTGAACATTATTTGAAAGTTTACCTATGGGCACCGAGGTTTTTACGCGAAGTACAGAAGTTTTAATATTTATTATGTGGTACTTACTAAGACATGTCGTGGTTTCAGCGTTAGCGTAACTGATATTAGCATTGGCGTGCAACCCAAATAGGGCGGGATCATCGTTCAAAGGCAGAGTACGAATATACTTCGTGTAGTCATCTATGTTCGCCGATGATATTTGCTGGTAACATAATATAATAATTATAATTGGTTAATCACTTAACAGTAAGGTACCCTTTGTGCTTTAATATTACAATTATATTATTAATGTGCTAGATTTCACTCAGTAGCGGACTCTTGTATCGTTTTCTGTGATTAAAATATTGTAAAAGCAAAACATAGATGGCGTTAAACATAATTTAAAAATAAAAATTTTCTTATACAAACTTCTTTTTGGGAATAAGTTAAATATAATATCGTCGGTTTAATAGAATAATTACGTAAACAGAATGTTCGGTTCGGTGTCAACCCGAACACCTGCTTGCGAAGCAGTATTCATGTATTGTTTTAACTTTTACCATGAACATCGAGACATCAGTGTACTTGTCTATCGCAAACAGAACGGGTGCATTCATCAAATAACATAAACATTAACATTTTTAACATTAAGAAAGTGCTCTGAACTCTTAACCCGTCGAGCGTCCGCGTTCCTTATGATCCAACGAGTGCACACGTGACATTTGGAGCATTTTTTCTATGATCCACCGGGTGCTCATAAGGACGCTCGAGGCGTTAATAAACAATAAACTTTTACGGTCACGAATGCGTTTGATATCTACCTACGATTTTTTTTTGAGGGGCGGATATTCATCCAATGACTTCTTCCGCCCGGGTCAAGGCCAGTGGGAGCGTCAGACTCTTACTGACTTTACTGACTAAAAACCACCCCGTTCCTACCCCTACACTTCGAGACGGAGCCCCGGCAACCCGTTGAGTCTTCCGCGGCTCCATGTTGTTTTGTTTTAATGTTATTTTGTTGTTTTTACGTAACTGCATAGATTGCTTACTACCAGTGCCTTAAACGCCACTTTAGCGCTTGTCTACAGAAAGAGTAGATAACTAAATGTATGGGAATGACACTGACAAGTGTCAAAATTTACGTCAATCCCATATAATTTGGTTTTCTATTCTACATGTAGACAAGCGGTAAATGGCATTCGGCTACAGCTGCAGGTTATTCGCTTGTTCGTTTGCCGCCCTGTATAAAAATAGGTATAATATTTTTCTACTAACCTGTTTGTATGCCCCGCTCTCATCATAAACGTACCGATCAGTAAGAACGGACAAAGTATAGTAGTCTGCTAGCAAACATAATAGGCATCGACGATCCCAATCGTCGGTCACCCGACCGCCGTAGTTGATATGGCCCGCTGTATATGTCAACATCTGTAAATATTGGTTAAATCACCAATAATCCATTAAGCCGGATAATATAATTGGCGGTGGACATCGCCAATTATGACATTAACTTGTTTTACCTCCTTTTTTGAAGTCGATGAAAAAGCTTTAAATTGTTTTTTGACTCGTTGGCCGTGTGGTCGCAAGTGCGACTTCCGGGCAAGGGGTTTCGGGTTCGATTCCCGGGTCGGGCAAAGTATTACTGGGCTTTTTAAAAAAATCTCAGTAGTAGCACGGAGTCTGGAATTGTGCCCGGTAAATGGCAATATGCTCACCCTCTATTACATGGGACTCATAACATAAAAAGTGGGTGTTACATTTTACAGTGGCATTAAGTGCCGTAATGTACACGGTACTCTGCTTACCCTGTCGGGGATAAAAGGCGTGATGTTATGTTATGTTATTTTACCTAGCATTGACTTTACAGTGGTAGCTGGGTTAGGCTTCGTCTACATAAGACATTATTTATGTATTGAAAGGGTTAATAAGTATAAATACGTATGTATAACCACATTCACAGTGTGAGAGCAAACAGCAGTGTGTCACGTTATGGATTTGATTCCCAGGTGGGACAAAGTGAGTGTTATTTTTCTGTTTTTCGAAAATTTGTCATTAATAATAATAGAACACGGAGACGTACGTCACGGAGAATAATAATAGAACTCAGTATGAGGTTGACCCCGTATCATATGAAACTCATAACATGACTTATGAAAAGTGTGTTACTGTATTTGCTATCCATTCGATGATATATTTTTTTAAATAATAAACCTTGCCCTGCACTACGATTTTCTCCTGTATCGTGGGTGCGTTTACAAACATACAAGTTTACATACACTTGACACCCAGACCAGGAACAATAATATAATCTGTGGATCACACAAAGAGTTATTCCGTACGGGAATCGAGCCCGCGACACGTGGCGCGGCAGCCAGTTGCCCAGCCACCGCGCTAACCGTGCCAGTCATTCATGAATAACATTTTGTATGCATGTTCTTAAAAGGTTCTTACCCTAAGAGGTACTTCGGAATATTCATTAAGGAACATGTGGAGCTGTGAAATGCATATCCTGAGGTCCCCATCGGTGAAGTCATAAGGTATGTTGAAGCCAAGAGGTCCAAACTTACGACGCTCTATCACCACGCCGTGGAATAGACAGAGGGAGAACAGAAGCCACTACAAGACAAATTAAAGTAGTTTAAAAAGTGAAAAAAAAAACATTCTAAGTTATACGTCTTCAATGTCAGGAGAAAAGGATCTATCTAATATTAGACGACAAAAATCAACTAATGCCCGAATACTGAAAAACTTAAATATCGTGCATCGTGCCATCTCTGTCATTTTATAAAGAACGAGCTACTTCCGCGCGGTTTCACACGCTCTGCTCAGCTCCTATTGGTCGTAGCGTGATGTTTTATAGCCTATAGCCATCCTCGATAAATGCGCTATCTAACACAAAAAGAATTATTCAAACCAGACTTGTAGTTACGAAAATTAGCGCGTTCAAACAAACAAACAAAAAAACAAACTCCTTTCGCTTTATATAATAGTATAAGAAGTATAAGATTTGTAGAGACAGAACTATACCTAAGCGCGATCTAAAATTGAGTACCCTTTCAGTATTTGGGCGTAATTGAGTGTTTTTTTTTCTTCTTTGGCAACGAGTCTCCAAAATGGTGTTGCCGACTATACTGCCAGTGTCGAGTGGAGACGGCAAAATTAATGTTTAATCTGTGTTATCTGCAGCACTAGCAGTCATGTTGACGCTGTCATATGTGACAGATTAGTAAAGTGAGAGATGAGAGACAAGAGAGACGCAAATAGAATGTAACGTCCACTCTAATCGGAAGTTTGTCTGTTACAAAAATCTTTTCTCGAGTATTGAGGTTTTACTTTAAATCTTAGAGCTCATACTCGGTATGTTTATTAGCAGGCAGTCCAAGGTTCCATCAGCCACCTTCCAATTCTATCATCGAAGCAGCTCTATAATATCATAATATTGTATGGTCATCTAATGTGGGAGAGCCATGCTTCGGCACGTATGGGTCGACTCGTCCGGCGTGATACCACGGCCTCACAGTACACCAATGTGACGCAACGCTTGCGTTGTGTTTCGTTGTTTGCGTGAGGTTACCGGAGGCTTAACTACTTCCTCCTCAGTCTCTCCAATCCCCGAATCCCCCACAATCCTCAAAATCCCAAAAGGCCGGTAACGCACTTGTAACGCCTCTGGTGTTCCAGGAGTGGGCGGCGCCGATTGCTTACCATCAGGTGATCCGCCTGCTAGTTTACCGGCTCATTCTATAAAAATAATCTACACATACTTAATTGGTGAGTTTCATGGTGATACAACAATTAGAAGTGTATACAATTCAGATTCTTAGATTTTATTACATAGTTAGACCTAATAAAAATATTATTGGAAATGATAAAAACGTACCTTAAAATTGGGCACTTTAGGGTCCTGTGAGTTGAAGTATTCGAGGAAATCAGGTACTTGATTCATGTAGGCCTTTAGCAAGTTCGCTTTTATGCCTCTAGGTGGCTCCACTGTCATTTTGTAACCTGGAAAGATTATATGCTGATATAAAGTACTTAAGTCTACGGAGCCAATCGAGGTAACTTACTTGGGATGATTTTAAATTTCTATAATTATATGGAGCTCATTAAATTGCCTCGTATTATTTTGACGATTTATGTGTAACGAAAAACGACGACAAGGGACGTTAAAAAATAAGTTATAGTTTCATAAAAGTAAGAAATTAAATCTTTCTTTTATGGAAAAAGTTGCAGTCAACTGGTCTAGGCTGAAGGTGCACGAATAACATGAGAACAAAAACGATTAAGATTGTAAAAATTATTTCTTTTTCTCAGCGTTTTGGGAGCTATATCGACTTGTCATGACCTAATTCATAATTATCATCAGCCAGAAGACGTCTACTGCTGATCAAAGGCCTCCTTAGTTCTCCACGTCGTCCCGGAGAATCTAACGGGTTATCGGGGCTCCGGCTCGCAGTGCAGGAGCCCGGAGAATCTAACGGGTTATCGGGGCTCCGGCTCGCAGTGCAGGAGCCCGGAGAATCTAACGGGTTATCGGGGCTCCGGCTCGCAGTGCAGGAGAAGGAACGGGGTGGTTTTAAGCCAGTAAGAGTCTGACACTACCTTCCGCTTCACCTGGCGGGAGAAGTAATTAAATGATTCCCCCCCCCCCCTTAAATAAATAATAAAGTCCTCCACGTCGAACGACAACTCGTCATTTGCATCCATTTGCTCCTCGTGACTCTCACGATGACGTCAGTCCACCTAATGGGATCTATTTTAGTAGCCTGACGGAAAAAAATTAATTCTAATATCTCACCATTCTGCAGTAAAGCGACTGGGAAGTGTGGTGACGGTGTAGAAGTAAGCCATAGACGGAAATCTTTGTGGACCAGTTCAGGTTGTATATGTTCCACGTTCAGCTCCAAAACTGGCATCCATGATGGAGACAGGTGGCAATTCTGTGAGCAAAGAGATTATTTATCAAAAATGCCTAGAATTATTGGCTTGGTAGTGTAGAATACATTTGTCTTTTATGTCGTGGGTGTCGTAGTCCTGACTGAGGGACCTACTCAACAGAGATGGAAAACAGCGATCTCTCACAGACCAGAACCCGCCAAGTCTGAGGTTGGGATAAAGGAGGCCCATAGTCCAACATGGGACTGTCAAGGGTTATTCCTAGCATATTAACGTGTCGTTCAAAACGATAAAGTTATAAATCTATGGGCATATCTCAATGATAATCATATATCAATGATATCCTCTTATAATATCCTCTAATTCACTTCGTTGCGGGAACCAAGACTGTTACTCATGTCCCTGGGACGCGCCGGATTTCAGTGTTCCGGTGTTTTCATGGTTGTATCTACTGTGCATCCTGGTTTACAGGAGTTGCAGCGTTTTTGGGAGGTTGTGGCAGGATTGTCCCAACAAAAAAAATCTGTCATCAGTCTATACCTGAAAGAACACCCAGTTTCCGAAGTCACAGCCGACTCTCATCATAGTTTCAGCCAGCGGCCCCTGACCCTGGCCTAAGGAAATACTGTCAAAACGCTTGCCCATCTTCATCTTCTCCGCAAACTTCAATAAGTCTAGAATTTGAAAGTAAATGTCAATGGGGAGGCATGCTTCGCCATGCTTCGGCATTGCAGGACCGGCTTGAACGAAATAAAACGGTCTCACAGAAAACCGGTGTGGAACAACACTTGCTTTGTGTTTTGTCATGTGAGATTACTAGAGGCCCAAGCACCTACATCCCCAATCCATAAAAGACAGACAACGCACTTGTAACATTTCTAGTGTTGCGAGTATTACATGATACTCATAATATAACTGGTAATAGGGATGATGACAGGGTATGAAAATTAAAAATTTAATTAGTCCGTTAGTTAGGTAATGAAAAAATATTATACACGTATTTTTTTTATTTTGATGTATATAATAAAATAAAAAAAAAAATAAAAAAGTTTATTTCAATTACAAAAGGCATTACATAAAATTATTGGAGATCACCTTTTAAGCAATGGATTGCTTGTGTTAGGAGACTCCGCACTTCCACATGACATTCTAAGTAATTGAAGTTACAATGAAGATAATGTAAACATGCAAGATTAACAATAAAACAAGAAGAAAATAAATCAAGTTAAACTTACAATTCTAATCGCAGAGACAATGAATGTTATTATGAAAATACCAGATCGCACAATGTATGTATGTGTAGTATGTCAATCATGTATAGTGAGTATGTGTATGAGTGATTGAGTGAGTAGGTGAGTGAAAGAGTGAGTGCAAATATGAGTGTAAGATTATCAGGAACTGTGTGAGTTGAGATATATGGTTTTCTTTTTTCTTTTTTTTTTTTTTTTTTTTATCTGTTAATTAACCAGTTCACCAATTAGCCCTACGACAAAGTCTTGGGATCGAAGGAATCCGAAAAGATTACCTTCACTAATTATATCTATGCACACCAGCCCAGTTTTTAATAATCCTGTTATTAAAGAGTGGTTATAACCGACTCAACCTCGTCATACGTCTTTGTTTTGAGCCAGTCCATTACAGCTTTTTTACAGTCCCAAAGTTTCATGGGATAGATTCGTAGTTCTTTGTTCAGCAAGTTGTATAAATAAGATGATTGCCTCGGGTATTGTCTTTTAGCAAAGGCAGATCTCACCCTAACAGTTGGGGCGACCAAATGGTCTCTTCGGTTTTTTGGCTTACAATGGTCGTATGGGAGAGTTATGTGTTTTTTCAGTATGAGTCGGAGTAAGTAAAGTTTTCTAACAGATAAAAGATCAGCTGATAAATAAAGGGCATGCGTAGGGTATCTATAGGGTTTAAAGAACATTACCTTAAGTAAGGCTCTTTGAGTCCTCTCAAGTTCCAAAAATTTCATTTTTGTTGTGCCTCCCCAGCAAGGCAAACAATACATGAGGATAGACTGCGCTAAAGACATATAAACTTGCTTCAGGAGTTGCCTTGAAGTCACATGTCGCAATGTTTTGAACAACCATATAAGTTTCCTAACTCTCATAAAATGATACTTAGATATAACGAATCAAAGTTTAGGAGTGGGGGCTAAAACGTCATTTCTACGTATGAAATGTACATAGAAGTGACGTCACGCGACATTTCAAATCAAGATATCGTCGAAAGTATTCGTTTCTGTAAATATATAAAAAATACGTGTGTAACGTTTTAATATAATGTACCAGACGGACATTAAATTAAAAATTTGTCTTCTACCCTATTATAATCAGGTGCAATTGGATACTTGCCAACTAGTCCAATTCAATACTTTTTTCGAACTGTCATAAAACTACAGTTTTCTATGAATTTTGTACGAGATTGTGTATAGTGACATCACGTTTTTTAGTGTTAAACAGCAAACTTATTTCTTAGAAATTTGCTAGTAATATACTAAAATTAAGTTGGTCATAAAATCAATACAAATACAAATACAAATATTGTTTATTTCGTCAATGTAGGTATGTTACAATAGATGGTAGATAATATTATGGTAGTGCGCCACATTGTGTCTGTACAGACATATAAAATTTTTATAGTATGTTCTTAATCTAGTATGTCAATTAATGAAGTGTGATTATTTTTTAATATTTCATAGTATAAAACTGTCGATATAATTTATTTTTCATTAAGGAAAGTACCCAATTCTTAACTGTTTCTGAGTACAAGATGCACAAAATATATTATTCAAAATAAAAATAATTATCTAGTACTAATGAAAAACAAACTCTATCACTTCACATTAAAGTTCTGTTTTCCACTCACCAGCTGCAGGATCAGTTCCAGTAGATAACACGAAGATAATGGGTGCGAGAGGATCTGACTCGGCGTAGAGAGCCGCCAGGTCTGCTGGTTGGGGCTCCACGAACCTGGCTCCCAGGCCCATCATTACGTAGTCCTGGAACATAAGTGTATCATCGTCAGCCCGAAGACATCCACTGGTCAGTAAAGGCTGAATGATAACCATCTCTTGCATATTCAAGTGTTGGAAAGCTAAGATTCGGTACGAATCAGGCAGCTTGACAGCTGATACACGCTGTCACAGTACTACAATGCTTACTTTCTGTTTCGCCGTGTCAGTGACCTTACCGAAGGCCCAATTCCCTAATCTCCGCAATCCTGAAATCCCCAATACTTAAATCTCTAACCCCAAGAAGACTAGTAACGCACTTGTAACTGCTCAGGTGTGTCGAGTGTCCATTGGCGACACCAAATGCTTACCAGAAATCAAATGACCAGGTGATCAAAATGCTCGTTTGTCGGTCTTTCCAATATAAAACTGGTATTATTAACATAACATAACATCACGCCTTTTATCCCCGATGGGGTAGGCAGAGGTGCACATTATGCCACTGTATAATGTAACACCCACTTTTCACTATTTATGTTATGAGTCCCATGTAATAGGGGGTGAGCCTATTGCCATATACCGGGCACAATTCCAGACTCCGTGCTACTACTGAGATTTAAAACCCAGTAATACTTTGCCCGACCCGGGAATCGAACCCGAGACCCCTTGCCTGGCAGTCGCACTTGCGACCACTCGACCAACGAGGCAGTCTTTCTATCATTCTATCACTAACATTATTAAAAAAAATCAGTTTAAGATTAAGACTAACTTACCTGGAACCCTGGTATGATCTTATCAGGCCGAAGACACTTGAGGATAAGTAGTTTCTGGAAACTATCGTACTGACTGTCCAACGGCTTAGGGTACGGCAACCTGTTATAGTACAAATATTGCTGAATAAGTTTAAATAATCGATATAGATCAATAATTGCAAAGACTTAGGAATCGAACTAGTGACCCCCATTTTGGATATTACACGTGCAATCGAAAAAATTAATTAAATATTAAATTGTCTTCAAAAATTATGACTAATTCCATGATAAACCGTGAAATAAAGTCAAAAGTCAAAATCATTTATTTCAATTACACCAGAGAGGCACTTTTGAACGTCAACAAAATTAAAAGTGAAGCTAGTTGCTCATTTCAAGGTGTAGATTCCTATGGAGAAGAACGAGCAAGAAACTCCATAGGTTACTCTTTTTCAATCAGGTTCACAATACAATTCTCTACTTACATAGTTTTGTTGTTTGGATTTGGGAGAACAATGTAACACAAAAATCCAGTCAAAGAGATCGATAAAAAATAACCTTAAAGGACAGTAAATAATACAGTCTGGAGGAGGAAGTTAATCTAACTAGGTACCCCAAATCTCTAATTTAGGAAAGGAATACGAACTTATGAGGAATGTGAGAGTCGTAAAATGTTCTGAAGAACTTGGCTTGGTTCGTGAAGTCCTGTATAATTGCTTTCATCGTGGTAACAGTGCCCAACTGCTGTATCTCCAGCCACACCCTTGGAGATATCCACTTTGGATCCGGATTCGGTTCTTCCTAAAATAATAATTGCAACGTCAGGATGAAGATGGATTAAAATTGAAAGAAAGAATGAGAAATAATTTATTCGCCACTAGCTTCTGTCCGCGACTTCAAACGCGCATTTCCGTTTGTCCCATGCCCGTAGGATTTTCATGACATTTTTCTGTCATAAGAACCTCCTCTTGACGATTAAAAATACAACAAAAATAATCTGCCAAATAGGTCTAGACGTTCTCAAGTTATGGCGTGACAACGGGAAACGGGCTTCATTTTTACATATATAGATATAGAAGATATAGATTAAGTATAAAAAAAACAAATGAAACAAAAATTAAAATTGCCCCTCATTGATTGATCAAAATTGATATACGTCACTTTGTAATAGGACGTGGACGATACATTTTGTATGGATTGTGATCCTTCTCCTTTCCATCAAAAAGCTGTTGCATATTCTTCAGAGAGATATCTCGGCCTTACAAAAAAACCGGCCTGAACCAACGTTTACATAACTACATTGTGTTTCGCCGTGTGAGCGAGGTTACTGGAGGCCCAATCCTTCCCTTCTGTCGCGGAGAACCTAACGGGTAACCGGGTCTCCGGCTCGACGTGCAGAAGAAGGAACGGGGTGGTTTTTAGTCAGTAAGAGTCTGACACTCCCTCCCGCCTCACCCAGGCGGGAGCAGTCGTTCGATGATTTTCCCCCCTTAAAAAAAATCCTTCCCTTCTGACCTTTTAAAATACCTGGCAGTCCTTTGGTATTTTAAAAGGACTATTGGATGTTGCGAGTGTCAGCCACGAGATCAATGTCGTGGACAGAAACCTAGGGATGTTAGGTAAAAACCTTTGACGACGTAACATATATTTTTTTTAAATATGTTAACATAAGGACTATTACTTGCCGTGTTATTTTTTTAATTCATTTTGATAATAATTTTTTACGACTGTGTGATTTTTACCAAAAAATATATAATGTACACGGATCTCTGAGGGCCCCACGTCAGTGTTAACGTAAATTTAATTCCACCTCAATAGCTAAAGGTTACGTTATGACAAAAAATTGGTACAAAGGATCACTTACAGTTTCCAGTTTCGCTCCATTGAGTAAGAAATTGAACTCATCATATCGAATGACACCCTTATCCAATAGTATACGCGCACACAGTAAGAACGCGAACAATAACTTGTGACGCTCAAACAGACTGCGGCATACGTTTTGGTATAATATGAACGTAAAGTGTACTATTATCACGTCTACACGCTCCACTATATCCTCTGAAAAAAGAAATATATTTTTGGACCCCACGAACTCTGTTTAACCCTAAATTTTGTACTGCTCATCTTTGTTTATACATAGGATATTCTTTGCAGTGCGGGAGAGCCGATAGAGAGTGATACCACGACCTCACAGAAAACCGACGTGAAGCAACGCTTGCGTTGTGTTTCGTCGTGTGAGTGAGGTTACCGGAGGCCCAATTACCCTCCCCTTCCCCAATCTCCCCAATCCCTGAATCCCCAACGATACTCAAACTCCTAATCCTCTAAAGGCCGGTGACGCACTTGTAACGCCTCTGGTGTTCCGGGTGTCCATGGGCGACGCCGATTGCTTACCATCAGGTGATCCGTCTGCTCGTTTACCGGCTTATGTCATAAAAAAAATCTACTAACATATTTTTCATACACAAGAACCTTCTCCTAACAATAACATACACAACAAAAAAGACTTAACAAATTCGGTTCAGTTGTTCTCCAGATTTGCGCTTAGCAACACATTCAGCGATTCGTTATTATTTTATAGATTTCTTGTATTTCGTTTTCAGTATAGCCATGAAACTGCTTGCTCATACGCATTCCCACATAAGAGAAAACCACGAATCGTAGTTGAAAAGAGTAGGAGAGACGATTACTGTTAAAAATAATATAATATTCTCTATATGAGATCGAACCCAAGTCTCCCGGCTTATGCACCATCGTCGCAACAAGACTACGAGAACGACAGTCTTGAAAAAAAAAACGGAAAAATACATAGTCTATTTCTGGATTTGTAATCACTAACTGTTAAGAGACTTTCGTCGTAATGTCCTTACCATTAGGTTCAGTTTCCGCCATAGCCCTCACAAAAAGCTTGACGAACCATTCTAACGAGTACTGGTACATTGGATCGACATTAGCCATGTCGGACAGACAGAAGAATAGAATAGACCCGCGGTCGGCCACTGGTACATAGCCGCTGCGTGCTTCGTCTATCTCTAGTGTTGTACGCTCTATGTCTTCTACTTTTATCTACAAAATGCAAAGACAAGATCTATGCTAAAAAGAAAATAATCTAAGGCTTATATAACTAGTTACATAAGATAACATCACGCCTTTTATCCCCTAAGGGGTAGGCAGAGGTGCACATTATGCTACTGTACAATGTAACACCCATTTTTCACTGTTTATGTTATGAGTCCCATGTAATAGGGGGTGAGTCTATTGCCATATACCGGGCTCAATTCCAGACTCCGTGCTACTACTGAGATTTTTTTTAAAAACCCAGTAATTCTTTGCCCGACCCGGGAATCGAATCCGAGACCCCTTGCTCAGTAGTCGCACTTGCGACCACTCGACCAACGAGGCAGTCATATATATATATATATATATAACTAGTTATTATAAAATATTTTCGGCTAAATTTGAAGTCAAAACATTTAATTCAATAAATCCTTAATAATTAGCCATTTTTGAAACGTCAAATTGAATGTCCGTCAGTCTGTCTATCAGTGAAGCTAAGTATTTATTGCAAAGCGAAGTTACGAATAAAGAAGAACGAGCAAGAAAATCCATTGCTACTCTTTCCAAAAAATGAGTTTTACAAGCTCAGATACATTAACTTTTATAACATTTTAAATAAATTTACTACAATGATTACCTATCATAATTAGACAGTTGCCAAAATATTCTGATTAAGGATCGATCACATAAAACAATAGAGATTGGAGTTTCGGGAATGTGGATTGGCAATAGGGTAGACGACTAATTTTTATTATAATGTCCGTCTGGTAGATTATTTAAAACATTAGACACGTATTTTTTATTTTCTCACAGAAACGAATAGTTTCGAAGATATATTGATTTGAAATGTCGCGTGACGTCACTTCTCAGTACATTTTATACTAAGATATGACGTTTTAGCCCCCACTCCTAAACTTTGATTCGTTTTATCCAAGTATTGTTTTATTATACGACAAAATAAAAAAATACGTGTCTAATATTTTTTCATTACCTAACTTACGGACTAATTATATTTTTAATTTTCATACCCTGTCATCATCCCCATTAGAGATGATGCATTACAAATTACTCACAAGAATCTCAGCACTCTTGATTTTAATGGCCTCTAGAGTCAAGATAAGCGGTACGTCGTCCACAGGCGAGCCAACACTGTTAGAGAGACCGTACAAGATGTCTGCCTGCATCTCAGCAAGTTGGGAAGCCATTTGTGCTCGAGATACGATCAGCTGACCGCGCTGTTCTTCAAGATCAGGTCGTTCTTGAGCCACCACAATTGATAGGAGCTGTTCTGCTAGACCACTGTAATTTTTTAAAGATATAAATATGTTTTTGTATAATAACTATCTTGTGATATAGGTATTAAATTAATTTAAAATAACGGTTTTCTCACTCGAGAGAACAGCTCGACAAGTTTCAAGTGACTACAGGACTCTTATTCATTTTTTCTTTAAACTTTGCACCATGCTAGGATTTTCTCCTGTGTCTTAGTTGCGTTTACATACACGTTCACATACACATCACACCCAGACCCAGAACAACAATACGGAGCAACTCTTTGTGTGATCTACAAAGAGTTGCTCCGTGTTATCTATTATATTATACATGTATTTATACATGTATTATATTATATATTCAATATTATATATCAAACGCTAAAAACAAACCAAAGCCGGATCAAGTAACAAGTATCTACAGAAGAAAGTAGTTTTACCTGGGTACCAGAGCAAAGTTCACGACCATAACTTTTACGGAGGTCTCGGGCTTATATTTGGGGTTCGGCAGCTTAGTAGTGATATACAGCTTAAAACCAGCCATGAACGGAATCAGGGAGTCCCCTAATTTCAGCACCAGTTGACCCGCTTGACGGAAATATTGACGCTGGAATAAAATAATATTGTTTGTATATTTTGTTACTCAGCTCCTGCGTCAACCATACAGCTTATGTTAAGTATAGTTTAGTTTTTACCCGCGATTACGCCCGCGTGAATAGGGTAGTCTCCTAATTTTTTTAATGTCTTTCTTGCAGATTATATTAAAACATTAGACACGTATTTTTTCTTATCTTACAAAAGTAAATACTTTTGACGATATATAGATGTGAAATATCGTGTGACGTCACGATTTACTGCATTTTACCTCTACAGGGTAACGTGACATAACGACTTCCCACTCGTAAACTTAACGCCGTATTATCTAAAGATTGTAACTTTAAAAGTCAAAAAATACGCGTCTAATATTTTCTTATTATCTAAGTCAGAATCATTTATTTCAGTAGGAACAGGAAGGCACTTTTGAACGTCAACAAAACATTTAAAGTGAAGCTATTTGCTCATTCCAAGGTGTAAATTACTATGGAGAAGAACAAGCAAGATATTCCATAGGTTACTCTTATCCACTGACTAACTGACGAACTAATTAGATTTTTAATTTTCATACCATGTCTACTACTATATTTAACCTACGTATTTTTCCATACTCATCATCTATATGTTTGCTAAATTTTAAGAATATTGGGTACTTATACAATACTTTTTTCGAACTGTCAAAATGCCAGTTGTATAAATATACGAGGCCAGTTGATAAACCTTCTCCAATCTAGCTTTTTTTCATTCGATTTTCAACTTAATATCAAACCAGTACAGTTACAAATCCAATGAAAATATACTCTTACCTTTAATACAGGATCTAATGCTGGGTCTATGTCTTCTCCTACATTCTCCAGTAGTATTGGCTTGCCGAATCTGAGTGCAGACTCGAAGTTCCTTAGTAAATCTCTGTCATTTGGCTTGCATACGACTAGACCTTCCAATTTACCCTGAAAAGTATTTAGTTTGTGTGTGAGAGCTATGTTTACATATACAGCTACATTTTAAGTGTGGGAGAGCCATGCTTCGGCACGAATGGGCCGGTTCGACTGGAGTGATACCACGGCCTCACCTCTCAGCCTCAACCGATTGCTTTGAATTTTTGCAGACGTAAAGTTAGAAGTCTGGATTAAATAATAGGGTACTTTTTATCCCGGAAAAAATTGATATTTCTAAGGAAAAACAAAAATATTGGTATAGATGGCGCTGTATGTACTGGTATAGATGGCGTTGTATATCATTTAAAACCAGTAAACGAATTACCTACTTATTGGAAAAATCTAAATAGCGCGATATAAACGAATTCCACGCGAGCGGAAAGCTATTTGTTAGTTTGCCTGTCTGAAACGGCAGAACGGAGGTACTAATTAACGTGATTTTTTAACTGAAGGTAGTTGAACGGATAGATAGTCACATAGGCTACTTTTTATCCTTTTGTGACGCGAGCGAAGCCGTGGGTGAAAGCTAGTTGTTTTATAAATAGATAATTACCATGGCTCGGATCCACTTATTGGCTTGCGTCTGAGGATCTATGATGAGCGGCCAGCGGCGGGAGTTCGACATCAGCACCGCCGACTCCACCGACATCGGGTCACGGGGCAGCCCATACATCTGCCATGTCCTGCAACATCAACACCACTATCTTCATTATCACCAATGATATACAATATAATTAGACCACAATCTCGTATGGGGTTACAGAACATATCAATCCCAACATTTTTGTCAAACAAAAGGATTGGCGGCATCGAACGGTTAAACTGTACCACCAACATATTTGTCGCGGAGAACCTAACGGGTAACCGGGGCTCCGGCTCGACGTGCAGGAGAAGGAACGGGGTGGTTTTTAATCAGTAAGAGTCTGACACTCCCCCCGCCTCACCCAGGCGGGAGCAGTCATTCGATGATTTTCCCCCTTATAAACAAAACCAACACATCTATAATCTGTACATGTCACTTGTTTTTAACGTGTGAAACAATGCATTTTTCTTGTTCCTTCTTTCTTTCTTTCAATTCTTATGAAGAAACTTGAGTTGAAACGCTTCGGGTGTGTAGTTGGGTTGGCTGATGGGTTATCAAACTGGTGGTGCGTATTACTAAAATATGAAAATAAGAAAATGCAATAAAACAAAAATTGACATAAATATGTATATTTTTTATACATTAAACCAAAGCGACGTCATTTTTTTGAAGCGAAATGTTCAATATCCTTTTCATTAAAATCGGGTATTGTTTGTATTATTTTCAACTAGCTTTTACCCGCGGCTTCGCTCGCGTCACATATGTGCCTATGTGACATATACCAATACACACAGCGCCATCTATACCAATACTCTTGTTTTCCCTAGGGAATATCAATTTTTTCCGGGATAAAAAGTACCCTATTATTTAATCCAGACTTCTAACTTTACGTCTGCAAAAATTCAAACCAATCGGTTTAATAGTTACGGCGTGAAAGCGGAACAAACAAACAAACTCACTTTCCAATTTGTAATATTAGTAAGGATACAACAATAATTAGCGCATCACACATACAGTGAAACTATACTAATGCATGCATGGCTGCCGTTGCCATAAGGGATTTTGTTGTTGGTCTAGTAGTGTGACGATAGTAAGTACTAAAGGGAATCAAGGATGAATATTGTATTTTACCTGATTTGCACAGCATCTCCGAGCGTTTTAAGAGGCGTGGCGCCTGGCGTATGGGGGACCCCCACAGACTGTAAGAAAAAATAATATAATGCATTTCAAAACTTTAAAACAAGAATATCTAATGTTAATGACTTAAGATATAAAGAAAGAAAGAAAGAAAAACATTTATTATTGATATGAGACAACCGCCTGAATACTGAAAGGTTACCATTTGAAGTTGTATTTAAATATTGTGTAGAAATAATCTTTCTAAAAGATGCACTCGGCCAACGCCATCCTACTATTTATTGTGTTGTCCCATAGCTCGATAGATGGCGTTGGCCCATTTATATTCAAGCTATGGTTTCGTTACCAACAAAACATTAGGTTGTTTGCTTTGACGTAAATAAATTGTCTTGCTCTGAGGTACTTGAAATGATACGAACATTTCAAGTGAGAGGCTTCAAAGGACTTTCGGCCGATAATGTAAATAATAAATAAATAAATAATGTAATTATAGTGCTATCTCTGTCACTTTACAAAGAATTTGTAGAGATAGAACTATACTTACTTGGATATTTGGGGATTAGATTACTTTTTTTATATTAACGATTTTTTTAAGGGGGGAAATCATCGAGTGACTGCTCCCGCCTGGGCGAGGCGGGTGGGAGTGTCAGACTCTTACTGACTAAAAACCACCTCGTTCCTTCTTCTGCACGTCGAGCCGGAGCCCCGGCAACCCGTTAGGTTCTCCGCGACTATATTAAATAAAACTACTACTAAAACTATTAATGTAAGAAGTAAGTACAAAAAGAGATAATAAATTACTTGAATATGCTCAATCCATTCGTTAAGAAGTGTTCTTCTAAACTCGTCTGTAAACGGCGTAATATATCCTACAGCACCTATTAACAAAAAAAATCATAGGGTTTATATGAGCTTCACTCCATTATATATACATTATACATACATACATAACATCACGCATTTTATCCCCGAAGGGATAGGCAGAGGTGCAAATTACGACACTTAATGCCACTGCTTCACGCCGAATCACGCCTTTATGTAATATTTCAATTTTTCAAAATCCAAGAAAACTTATTCGGTCCGAGAATCGAACCCGAGACCTTTTTTAGGGGGGAAAATCATCCAATGACTTCTCCCGCCGGCGTGAGACGAGAGGGAATGTGATACTCTTACTGACTAAAAACCACCCCGTTCCTACTCCTGCACTTCGAGCCGGAGCCCCGGTAACTCGTTAAGTCTTCCTCGGTAGTGTCGTTTACGACCAATAGCTTATTTATGAAAGCAGTTTCCTATAAATTGGCAAGAAAATAATACTTAATAATTTTGAATAATCTTACAAGCACTAAGCAATATGTCTCCTATCAAATTAATTTTGGCGACGTCCAAGTCCTTAATCGTCTTGATCCATCTGACGCGTTCGCTTGATAAACCATTCAGTAACCTGTGAAATAATTACAAATATAATTTTTTATAGAATTGGACGCACACAACGAGACGAGCAACACAAATGACCCTTTTAGCATAGGCATGTTGTCAGCGTCTCTTTTCTAATTCTTCTGTTTTAATTTTTTTACTCTTATGCTTTTATTACTTCCACTGTCACACCTTTATTGTCTTTTTTATATTTTACTAGCTTTTACCCGCGGCTTCGCTCGCGTCACAAAAGGAAAAAAGTAGCCTGTGACATAATAATATACTAATACACACAGCGCCATTTGTTTTCCCTCGGGAATATCAAATTTTTTCCGGGATAAAAAGTACTCTATTATCTAACCAGACTTCTAACTTTACGTTTGCAAAAATTCAAAGCAATCGATTTAGTAGTTACGGCGTGAAAGCGGAACAAATAAACAAACAAACAAACTCACTTTCCGATTTATAATATTAGTAAGGAAGTAAGGATTTACGCTGCATCGTGTCTGGTGCTAATTAATTGCTTTTTCTTTCTTTCTTTCAGAAGAGAATACACATCTGATGGTAAGCTATTGGCGCCGCCCATTGACATACGCAACATCAGATGAGTGCGGTGCTGGCCTTTGGGAATTCGAAATAGGGTAGTATCCTAATTTTTATTTCGATGTCCGTCTGGTAGATTATTTTCAAACATTAGACACTTAATTTTTCTTTTCTTACAAAATTAAATACTTACTACGATATAATGATTTGATATATAGTGTGACGTCACAATTTAGTACATTTTAAACGGTAGCGTGACGTCACGACCTCCCACTACTAAAATTAACTCTGTTTTATCTAAGTATTGTTTTGTTATACGACGAAATTAAAAAAATACGCGTCTAATATTTTTTCATTATCTGACTGACGGACTAATTACATTTTTAATTTTCATACACTATCTACTACCCTATTGGGTTTGGGCGGAAGATTTTTACTCAAAGTAATTTTATTGTGTATGTTGTAAGTATGTACCTAATGTAATATTTTGGTTGTTCATAAATACGGATATATTGTTTCGGGCACTGTTTTGCATTCTGTACCTACTTATGTATATTTTGTATTTCTCAGTCAAGTCAATGTAAATTGTTTTTGAGAAATAAATGTCTTAAACCGTAGATTTGGCTACTGGTAACCTCACACACGCGACGGAACACAACACACGTGTTGTATCACGTCGATTTTCTGTGAGACTGGTATCATGGTATCGTGGCTGTTTGGGTCAGACCATTCGTGTCAAAGCATAGCTCTTCTACGTGAGAAAATATGTGTGTACGTAAGTAAATTTCTCTGTCTACAATAACTTATTATCGGGCATATACATTGTATACTTCAGACTATCCTCTTAAATGAATCAAGGCTCCATTCATCCAAATTTTCGTGTTTAACGATAAGGCCGCCCTAGCGCCCTTCTTATTCTTTACTAGCGGACCTGGCATACTTTGTACCGCCCAAAATTTTCTTTTCCCTCCTTTTAAACCTTTCCTAGACTTAGCCAAATCGATTCAGCCGGTCTCGAGTTTTAGCAAGACTATATAACGAACGGAAATTAATTTTCATTTATAAAGATAGAAAAAATTGTATAATTTCTTACTTGATATACAATAAAGTTTATCTCTCTTTCTATTGTCCAAATACTCAAACGTCACTCAAGTTTAAGTCGCGCTCAAGTATAGTTCTGTCACTATAAATTATTGTTAAAATGACAGAGACGGCACGATATTTAAGTCCATCTTAAAATTGAGTAGCCTTTCAGTATTCGGGCATATATCTATTTATTATCAGGGCCTTTAGCCAAACGCCACTTTAGCGCTTGTCTACAGAGAGAGTAGAAATCAAAATGTATGGGGATGACACTGACAAGTGTCAAAATTTACGTAAATTCCATATAATTTGGTTTTCTATTCTACATGTAGACAAGCGCTAAATGGCATTTGGCTACAGCTGCTGACCTGTTAGCGCGATCCATCCTCGCCAAACATTGGTTGATGTCTTCTTCCATCCGTTTCCTCTCCTCTTCCTTCTCAATGAGGTATGCGTTCAACTTCGCGATGCCCTCCAGCAACGCCTGCATTTTCGCTTTAGCAGACGCCAGCATGGCTGAAAAAATATTTCAGTTTTTGTTTCTCACGTCCCAATGTTTGTGTGGAATCAAATCATAGGGTTTTGGAACAAATCTCAAAAGCCGCCTGTTTGATTCGACATTTTCATAAAATGTTTACAGTGTGCTCACTTGACATCAGCACCTCTGCTCACTCTTTGCTAGAAGCTTTCGTTAGAAATACATAGTGTCAAATAGATAGCGGACGGAACCACGGTGATGACGATTACCTTCAACTACCTGCAAGTCTTTAGTAGCCCTAGCCAGGGCTTCCTTCTTGGGGGCAACGCCTTTGTTGACGTGGTAGAATTTGTACATAGCATGCACCCACATGCACAGCGATTGACAGGCCTTGGACACCTGGAAATATCGAAGTACATAGATACATTATTCGGAGATAGACACCGGTTTCAGTCTTTAAATAACTAAGTACTATCGACCAGATTCTGAACGTAGGACTTATTTTTTATGAACCATCTGTTAGTTAAAACCGCAGAGTGCCATAACTGGCAAAAACTAAACGTCCTCTAAGTAGAGTGTACCTCTACTTCTCTCAACGGGGACTAACGGATAGTAGCACAAAAAACCCCAATAATTATGGTATCATCATCATCAACAGCCTATAAATGGTCACTGCTGAGCAAAGCCTCTTCTCACTCGGATAAGGTTTGAGCATTCATCACCACACTTGCTCAATACGGGTTGGGGATTTCAAATTTTTAATGAGAAATTGTACACCGTTTGTCAGTGGTGTCTAAAATCTTAGAAAGTACATGTAACTTGGAAAAGAGTCACAATTGTACATGTCGTTGGGAGGTTTCGAACCCACACCCTCACGCATGAGAAGCATGGGCGTCTAAACCACCGGGTCACCACGACATGGTATACTGGTCTACTAAAAAGACCAAATAAGCCAATTAGACCTGACCTTCAAAATCTTCGCAGGATCGTAATCTGGGTTCTGGATGAATCTTTTGAGCTTTTTGATCATGTCTTCTGTAATTGATTCTTTGTCGAACTTTATTAGAGACTCAAGGAAAGCCGTGGGGTCAGATAACATTAGTGAACCAGGTTTCCAGTAGTTTAGGACCTTTTCACCAAACGTTGCACCTGGCTCCTACAAAAGCAATACAATCATAATAGAAATTAGATTTTAAATCATTCTTTTATAAACTATGTTTTAAAAAAAAACCGACTTCAATCTGATATATTTTTTTATGTCGGTAAATTAAATTAAGAGTGCACTTCGGCACGAACGGGCCGGCTCCATCAGAGTGATACCACGGCCTCACAGAAAACCGACGTGAAGCAACGCTTGCGTTGTGTTTCGTCGTGTAAATGAGGTTACCGGAGGCTCTCCCTCTCTCCCCAATCCCGAAATCCCCACCAATACTCAAATTCCCAATTCCCAAAAGGCCGGTAACGCCCTTGTAACGCCCTTGGTGTTTCGGGTATCCACGGGCGACGCCGATTGCTAACCATCAGGTGATCCGTCTGCTCGTTTACTGCCTTATCCCATAAAAAAGTATACTAAAACTTCTAAATGAAACAAACACTTTTCTGGGAAGCATTAAAATCGGTTCAAGCCGATCGCGAGATAACCGCGCACAAACATGCATACAGGTCGAACTGAGAACCCCTTTTTTTCTTTTTGAAGTCGGTTTAAAATCTACAAAACTTGATAACAACAACCTATATTAACTCTTATCGCTGACGGCATAAGTCACTATTTCCTACTTACCTTTATTGGTTTGATATCAAAGACAACACAAAGAGACTCGATGACCAGTACGACTCCCGCTGGCGGTTTCTTCATGGCCTTAACTTCCACTACATCATTACGATTTAACTCTTGAAGCGCTTTCTCAGCTGCACGTAACGCTGGCATTGCTTCCTCTGCAATATATATTATCGTGTTAGCAAAACGGCGCAGTAAAATACATTTGACCCCAACCCTACCCTTTCCAAGAGGTCGTAAGACCTGACTAGGGGACTACACATTTCATAGAAACTCTAATAAACACATATACATTGTAGCAGCTCATAATACTTACGCATCTATGACATACAACAATGGAGCGCACTCGGCCGGCGCCAGCGCGCGCTCGCGAGACTAACTAGACAATGCTAAAGGAATGTGGATCGGCCGTGTATATCATCGCGCTCGTCCGTAGGGAGCCCGGCACGTCATACCGACATTAGTAAAATGGTGTTAGTCCTAAATTTTTGTATGTACCTAGTATTTTGTACAAACTATATATAAACTGTGATTTCAGATCAATGACACAGATCATTATTCGCCTTCTTATTTAGAAGACGCTCATCCCCTAAAACATCAAAAGTACTCCTTTATGACGAGTCGCCCGTACGTACGGCGCGTCGCGTTCCGCGCGCGTCTCAAAGAACCATCAGACCACCATAGATGGCCCAATAGGGCCGATGCCCCATACGAAGCCGCGGAAGGCCTAACGGGTTGCCGGGGCTCCGGCTCGAAGAGCACGAGTACAAACGGGGTGGTTTTTAGTCAGTAAAAGTCTGACACTCCCTCTCGCCAACACAAGGCGGGAGAAGTCAACGTTCCCCTCTCAAAAAAAAAAAACAAAAAAGGGCAAGTTGTTTTACCGCGGGATTAAAACGAAATAGATGCCACAGTGTAATTAAGGTGTTCCAGCACGCCAAATAACTAACTAAGTAACTTAAAATATAGTGAAAACGGTCACAAGGCTTACCCAAGTCTCTCTGTGCATCTTCTGAAATGGCTGCATTAATGGCAGCCAGTTTTTCCGCCATCACTGTTTCCTTTTCAACTTTCTCGCGAGCTTCTTCAGCGATCGCCTAAAATTTTCAGTAAACTACTTATTATATACATAACAAACTATTTTACCTGCCTCGTTGGCCGAGTGGTCGTAAGTGCGACTGCCGGGCAAGGGGTCTCGGGTTCGATTCCCGGGTCGGGCAAAGTATTACTGGGTTTTTAAATATTCTCAGTAGTAGCACGGAGTCTGGAATTGTGCCCGGTATATGGCAATAGGCTCACCCCCTATTACATGGGACTCATAACATAAATAGTGAAAAGTGGGTGTTATATTGTACAGTGGTATAATGTGCACCTCTGCCTACCCCTTCGGGGATAAAAGGCGTGATGTTATGTTATGCAAACTATTTTATTAGAATAGTTTCTTTAAACTTTGTTTTTTTTTTTACTATTTATTGCGAAAGTAAATCATTAACATTTAATATACATAAATAAAATTAACATTAACTATTACTAAATGAAAATATATACAACTTAAAACATAAATAACTATGAACTAAATTTTTTTCACCTTAAAAAAATTAGTAATAATAAAAAAAAATGCTGTCATAAGGCATCAAAAAAGCTTTGTGAAATTTTAAAACTTCATTGTTTTCGCATCGAAACTGGGCCTTTAGCCAAACGCCACTTTAGCGCTTGTCTACAGAGAGAGTAGAAATTAAAATGTATGGGGATGACACTGACAAGTGTCAAAATTTACGTCAATTCCATATAATTTGGTTTTCCATTCTGCATGTAGACAAGCGCTAAATAGCATTTAGCTACAGCTGCAGGTGTCCCGTTTTTAACGCAACTCGGTACAAAGATATACTTTTAGAAAATCAACGCACTTTTAAAAATCAGTATCAATACAGTACTACTCACAGTATCAGTGGCGATCTGTTCGATGACCTGTCTGGTCTCCTCAGCCGCCTTCTCCATCAAGGGTTTCAGCTCCGCCAACTCGATCTGAAGCTCCTTCACTTCTACTTCCGTTTGATTCAACTTGTGCAACCCTAAATTAAATTAGCTTTATTATCTGACTAGCTTTTACCCGCGGCTTCGCTCGCGTCACAAAAGGATAAAAAGTAGCCTATGTGACATATACCAATACACACAACGCCATCTATACCAATAGTTTCGTTTTCCCTCGAGAATATCAAATTTTTCCGGGATAAAAAGTACCCTATTATTTAATCCAGACTTCTAACTTCATGTCTCCAAAAATTTAAAGCAATTGGTTTAGTAGTTACGGCGCGAAAGTGGAACAAACAAACAAACTCACTTTCCGATTTATAATATTAGTAAGGACTAGCATTTACCCGCGGCTTCGCTCGCGTCACAAAAGGATAAAAAGTAGCCTATGTGACTATCCTATCCATCCCTTCAACTACCTTCAGTTAAAAAATCTCGTTACTTAGTACCTTCGTTTTGCCGTTTAAGACAGGCAAACAAACAAATAGCTGTTCGCACGCGTGGAATTCGGTTATATCACGCTTTTTAGTTTTTTTCCGTGGGAACGACAAGTTCTGCCGCGGTAAAGCCTTGCTTTTCCAGGACTCTAACTACCTTCATACCAAATTTCTTCAAAATCCGTTCAGCTGTTCCTCTGTGAAGTCTTTTAAATTGAAATGGGAGGATGGTATTTGAGGTAATACGAAAATAACACCCGTCTGTTGTTCTTTCAGGGTAAGGGTTAGGGTAGTTTCCTAAATTTTATTTTAATGTCCGTCTGGTAGATTAATTTAAACTTTAGATATATATTTTATATAAATATGTTTTTTTTTTCTTAACTTGATTAAGCTTCACTGTCGAATTGGGAAAATCCTGTAATGAGAGTGTAGGAAGAATTTTATAATAAATAAATAAAATTTTGAAACCCTGGAAACTACCCAATTGAGAGTGGTGGGGTTAAATAGCGTTTTGATTATTGAGTGTGGAGCTCAGTCAGTGATTCAATAACTATGTTGGTTATCCGACCAGTGTTAAAGTGAAATAAAAGTATTCATTGTGCTGTGAATTGGAGTTTAATTTTATTATAACTGAAAGGCTCAATTTTAGGTTGTACTAAAATATCGTGTCATTTCTGTAATTTTACAAAGAATTTGTAGTGACAGAACTATACTTATGCGCGACTTAAAGTTGAGTGGCGTTTGAATATTGGAACATAAGAGTCCCGTTTTAACTTGAAACTAGTAATCTTTTCTCCATTGCTTCTCGCGAGTAAACCGTTGTTTTCAATTGATTATGTCTCACGCACTATAAACTTGTTACGCACAGGTCGATATAAGACCGCTCTACTGAGGAAAAGTGTTTTTGGTATGGCGCCGACTATTTTGAACCACATTCCTAATTCTATAAAAAAAACAACCAATGACAATTTTTAAAAAGAAACTTACTACACTCTTGTTAAACAAATGTTATTACTCTGTGTCTGATTATTTAGTTGATAAAAATTGTAACTGTGTCAGAATATACGTATGTCTGATGCCAAAAATGGTAGAATGTACAAGGACAACTTATTAGTGTTTTAATATCACCTTATTGTAAATACCTGCATTCTGAGCAAATAAATAATTATTCTATTATTCTATTGTATCCTATTCTATTCACGATCCTTACTATTTCTTTTTGGGATAAGCCCGCCTCAACCTCCCTCAACCGCTGCAACTCCTGTAAGCCAGGATCTACAGTGGATACAACCATGAAAACACCGGAACACTGGAGTCCGACGCATCCCAGGGACATGAATAACCGTCTTGGTTCCCGCAACGAAGTGAATTAGAAGATATTATAAGAGGAGAAGAAGAAACGATTCTTATTATGTAAAGGCTACTGACCTGTTTTAAGCGCACTGGACTCTTTGAGTATGGCCTTCTGTTGCTTACGGAACATTTCAGAGTAGGCGCCTAACATCTCCATGTAAGACATGGGCGTCACGTAGTTGATGCGGTTTAGCTGTTCCTTGAACAGCTCGCTAGCTTCCACCACAGATTGGTGCGCGAAGCAACATACTGACTGTATGACATGGCATGTGTTAGTAAAAATTACATGGGGTTGGTTAGAAATTAATTGAGTGTGGGAGAGCCATGCTTCGGCACGAATGGGCCGGCTCGACCGGAGTGATACCACGGCCTCACAGAAAACCGACGTGAAACAACGCTTGCGTTGTGTTTTGTCGTGTGAGTGAGGTTACTGGAGGCCCAATTACCCTCCCCTTCCCCAATCTCCCCAATTCTTGAATCCCCAATCCGGTAACGCACTTGTAACGCCTCTGGTGTTCCAGGTGTCCATGTGCGATGCCGATTGCTTACCATCAGGTGATCCATCTGCTCGTTTATCGGCATATGCTATAAAAAAAAATACCTTATTTGTATATACAAAATGACACCTTCGCTCAAATACTGTAAAGCTACTCAATTTTAGTTGCACTTATATATCGTTAATATCATTTTACAAAGAATTTATAGTAATAGACGACTTTAAAATTAAATGGCGTTTGAGTATTTGGACATTAAATCATTATTGTTTCAGTGAACGTCTTTCAGCTGATAGGGTGATGATCATAATGGTCTCAAAAACTACTTACCACCATAGACGTGAGTATTTCATTAGAAGCCTCTGTGAGTTCTCCCATACACTCGAAGAAGTGGTGCGCAACCGACTCCAGGGCAGACTTCGGCCATTCGCTAAACCAATCGATGGTGCAACAGTTCACCAAGGACGGGAACTGACGGAGACGGGACCTAAATATCTGAAAAAAAAAAAAAACACTAAATAACACTGACATATTCTCAACTTCCTAGCCTAAGGGGACTCCTATGTTCCCCGTTCCTGCAACAGTTTATACAAAAAAAATCTCTTTTCCTTCATAACATAACATAACATCACGCCTTTTATCCCCGATGGGGTAGGCAGATGTGCACATTATACCACTATACAATGTAACACCCACTTTTTACTATTTATGAGTATATGATGAGTCCCATGTAATAGGGGGTGAGCCTATTGCCATATACCGGGCACATTTCCAGACTCCGTGCTACTACTGAGATTTTTAAAAACCCAGTAATACTTTGCCCGACCCGGGAATCGAACCCGAGACCTCTTGACCAGCAGTCGCACTTGCGCCCACTCGGCCAACGAGGCAGTCAAAGTCAGTCTTTTCCTACATTACCTAAATAAATACTAAACTTCAGCTTTCTACAAATGGTTTTCCTTGAAAAATATTGACAATTTATTCTAACCTCTCCAATTGGGCTCATGACTATAACAATATGCATGTTGCTCCTAACTCTTCTCTGGTAGCAACCAAACAGGTTGGTCTTGGTAGCTGTCAGGTTCATTTCCATCACAGCATGCCGCACTGACTGGTATATCTTGTCCAAATCTTCCGGCTCGTATATATTTGGCACGTCACCAGAACTCAGGATGTTATTTAGGTCCTCAAGGAACGATTCCATTTTAATCTAGAACAGTTATAATACACAATAATGTTATTGTTTATCTTATTCTAGACCAGCGACCCGCCCCGGCTCCGCAATATTTTTTTTTATGGAATGGGAGGCAAACGAGCAGACGGATCACCTGATGGGAAGCGATCAGCGCCGCCCATGGACACCCGCAACACCAGAGGAGTCACAGGTGCGTTGCCGGCCTTTTAAAAAGGAGTACGCTCTTTTCTTGAAGGTTTGAAGGTCGTATCGGTTCGGAAATACCGCCGACGACAGATCATTTCACAGTTTTGCTGTGAATTGCAAAAGTGAGAAGCGCACAGTTGTTGCATGGGTGCAATATACATATATTATACATATAAACCTTCCTTAAGAATTATTCTATCTACTAAAAAAAACCGCATCATAATCCGTTGCGTAGTTTTAGAGATCTAAGCCTACATAGGTACAGACAGACGGTGGATAGCGACTTTGTTTTATACTACGTAGTGATTAACGGCCGAGTACTGAAAGGCTAGGTACTCAATTTTATCTTGTACTTAAATATCGTGCCGTCTCTGTCATTTTACAAAGAATTTGTAGAGACAGAACTATACTTAACCACGACTTAAAATTTAGTGTCGTTTGAATATTTGGACAAGAGGTGCTTGTAAATGTGATTCCCCGTTTACAGACAGCTATTGCTATCAATTTTCACGTGGGAGATACTGTGCTCTGGAATAAATGGATTGGCGTGAATCGGCTTCACTGAAACTGCATAACGGTGCCGATTAAATGAGTTCCAAAACCATACCCGACTTCTAAAGTCGATAAAGCATTATAACTCTTTCAGTTCTGGTACATCCATGGGCGGCACTGTCAACTTAACATCTTCTTAGTCGTTCTCTTTATTACTGAAGGTCGTGTCTAGTCTGGTGCACGCGTCACTTGATACACAACCCTCTTCCAAACGCCCCTGTCCCCTGCGGTCTTTATGGCTTGTGGAACTGTCAGGCTGGCGAGTTTTTTACAGCATTCAGCCAACGGGTAGGTGAACGACCACGAGGAATTTTTTTCCGTTAATCCGCCACAAGCTTCTCCAGATTGTTGGGGTCTTAACTTAACATGAAATGATTATTTTGTTTGTTTGCAATCCCTCGCATAAAAGCCTCAGTTTATAAAATTACTACTGACAATTCGGTGTTGCATTTTATATTATGACACTTTTCAATAGAAGATGTTACCTGTGCATCAGAGAATAAGAACACAATGCCTCTATTCTCAGCGCCTGCCTTCATCATGGTCAACCTGAGGTCCTCGCGCCACTCCGTGAACCCATAGGCCTTCGTGATCTCGATCTGAATGCAAGTCAACTCCGCCATGTTAGCTGCCAGGCGAGACAACGATTGGCGACCTGGATGACATTACAATATACTCATTTTATACGGTTGGCGCGGTGCAACTTTTTGTGTGATCCACAAATTGTACATACACATGAGTGTATGTGAACTTGTATGTTTGTAAACGCACCCACGACACAGGAAAAAATCCTAGCCATAATTTCCACGCTTTGCAAACGAGTTGGAGATCGCAGATTAAAATAATTAAATTATCATAGAACGCTGATGCCCGGTCTCTATTAAACATGCAGTTCCTTAGTGTACTCTTACGAAACCCAGCGGGAACAGTAATGGTTTTAAGACGCAAAACAACTATTCATAGATCATACAATAACTTATTCCGAGCAGCTGAGCTACTCTGTAAGATGTTAATTCGAACTCTCGAAGTGAGCTCGATCGCGGCCCGCCATGTCATTGGTATATTAGTATATAAAAGAAAACCAAGCTATATTAGTATAATAAATAATAAAATAAAAATCATTTATTTCAGACCACATAGTCCATAGACATGGCAATTTTGTTAGTGCAGACAATCTACTTATAACTAATGTTAGTCACAAATAATTAAATTCAATGAAATATTAAAATTAAACTGAAGCCCTGAAGTATAGTATATTATTATAGTATATTAGTATAGCTATACAAGTATTCTCGCTGCGAGCTCACTTCGAGAGTTCGAATTAACATCTTACAGAATAGCCTAATATTAGAATTAACATCTTACAGAATAGCCGTCTTACAGAAGTACCTGTTATTGATTTCAAGTAAAAAAAATGTAAAAATTTAGTTTAATTTTTTATTTTTTTTTTACTTTTAGCAGTATAATACACACACACACACACACACACACACATGAACAGCATATAAGTGGCCACTGAGAAGGTTTGAGCATTAATCACCACGCTTGTTCAATGCGGTAGGCATATAATATTGCATCTTAATTTTAACATTGTCTCTCGTGCAATGCTACCAAGATTGGAACAACAATAAGCTGAGTCTCACTAACCTGACCCCCCCATGCCTAAAAGCAATGCATTAGCCATGGGTTGTCTCATGATGCGCGCTATCCTGCAGAGATGGGCCACGGCATCTTCGAACAATACCAAGTCGAGAGGAGCCGTGGTCGCTATATTGTACTCATCGAGGTAATGCGCCAACACATAATCCAACTGAAACCAATAAAATCATAGAAAACCAGATTATATTAGTGTGTCGCCACATCACAAAAACAAATCACGTCGCAGCCACCACTTTAGGAAACAGAGAATAAAGTTCCCTAAGATCGGAAAAGGAGGATCCTTCGACCAGAGCCAGACTCGCCTTGGCGCTTACTCTTGAAACCAATCTCAATGTCAATGCAATTTCAATCCAATAATTATTCAATTTCAAAACTATACAGGGGTTGTAGTAGCTGTTAGATTAGGATTCAAAGTACGGAATATCATATTAGTTCATTAAATATCCACTGTAGGGACAATTTGGACTGAAATTTTCCGTCAAATATTATATACTTAGTGAGTGTTTATTTTTAAGATTGTAGTTGTAATAATGTAGCTATATAGTGCATTGTGTTGTATTGACACCGAGTTTTGTTTTATATTCTTAATTTTGTTTAAATTTTGTTTAAGACAAAAGTTTTATGTCCTTTGGACTTTTATTTTCGTAAGGGGGGAATGGTGTAGGGACACCCACACACATATTCATGTAAATGCATGTACACGTTTATGTGTGTAGTTCGTCATATTACATGATTCCCACCGAACGATATTTTTGTATTAGCAGTCAGGAATTGTACCCTTATAAGATATCACGTACTGTGAATCAAACAATAAACTGTATTCTATTCATATTTTATTAACGTGTAATACAAAGACAATATAATTAATTCTCACTAAGTGTTAACGAACTATTATTCCTGCCCCTACATCCACGCAATACGGATGCAATGGGCGCTAGTTTTGCAACTCAAAAGTATAAAATTTCACAATACCAAGGTCGATCGATCGGAATTGGATTAAAGAGTACGGCTCCAGGCGAGGTGATCCTGCCTGGCGGGCTTTCTGCCCAACAGTTGTTCGTTGGGATTTTCTAACCGTGTTAATTCGCATGTAAACTTCACACGTGCAATGTAAAATTATGTGACGTCATCCGTTGATTTGTTTTCATCGATAGTCTATGTGCGTGAACTGTCATGATGTCATGTCATTTGACATGTGACGTCACGATGATCTTAGTTTGTATGATCGTTCCGCACAATCAACATTCAGTTTATACTGGTCATGCATAGCTTTTTTTAAGGGGGGAAAATCATCGAATGACTGCTCCCGCCTGGGTGAGGCGGGAGGGAGTGTCAGACTCTTACTGACTAAAAACCACCCCGTTCCTTCTCCTGCACGTCGAGCCGGAGCCCCGGTTACCCTTTAGGTTCTCCGCGACGGTCATGCATAGCTTGACGTGGAGCCGTGTGTACAAAAAATATCATCTCCTTATTAAAGACAATTTGTTTACCTAATATTTGAAATCACAACTAATATTACAAAACGAATGACGAGTGAAGCTACTGACAGAAGCTTAAACATAAATAAATACAATTAAGGAACCCACCTCATCTTTGTCCACAATCTCGATATACTTCTTATCATCAGCGCCGAGGTCCATGAAATCCCCGAACAACATCAACCGGTTGGCCAACAAATCCGTTGGTTCTGTATTAAATTCTGAACGTAACTTGTTATTCATTAAACTGGAATGGTAATGATAAAATTTTATGGTAAAAGGAACTGTTTAACGCGGCAATTCGATTTTGGTTTGTGTCAAACGCACACGCGCAACTCTAGTGACAACACACCACCTCTCTATCCCTCTTCCCCCAATTCCCCGCCACTGGCCGCTCGACGCCAGAGAACAACTGGAACAACGAGTCCCGCGCCGGAGCCGTGACTCACGCGCTCCGTATTTGTGCCGCGAAATATTTGAGTTTTACCCCATTGTATTATTGTGCAACTTAGTTTATATTTAATTTATTCCAATATACAGTTTTACAGTCATTCGTGTGTCGAACTTTACTTCACGCCCTGAGAACCCACCACTAAGACAATCTTCAAGAATATTAAAAGTGTAATTAATATGACTCACTAGCTTCTGCCTACGGCTTCGACCATTTTCCCGTGGGATAAAAATTAGCCTATGTGTTATTCCAGACCATGATCTACCCCAAGGCGAGGCGCATGAGGGAACGAAACTCCTCACGCCCCTCGTCACGAGAGACACTTCGGACGTCGGGGACCACGAAATGATCTCCGGCCACGGTAAGCACGGGCCTGCGGACGGCGAGGTCGGGTAACTCGCTGTCCGACCAGAATCTTACCCGAGCTTACGGCGCGTCGCATTCGCGCGCCTTAAGGTTCCATCAGAAAATTTTACAAAGCCTTGTGTATGTTGAAAAACCGACCTGATAAAATCTTCTCATAATATTACTGGACTTAGTCCAGTAAAATTCGCTGCGACAACAGAGCAAATAAGTATACCTAGCATTTATCCGTCCATTTGAGTTAGTCTATTTGAGTGAGTCTATTCGAGTGCTTCCATTTGAGTGAGTCTATTTGAGTGAGTTCATTAGAGAGAGTCCATTAAAGTGAGTGAAAATAATGATAAAACTTACTCAGTGAACCATTTACGGTCAGTGTCGTTGACCAGTCGGTCCTGGTACACCCTCTGGTGTTCGTGGTACCACAACCTGATCACATCGTCCACATCCTGGTAACAACATAAAAGATATAGAATTTCAGACCTCTCTCCCTCGTTTTATGATAAACATGAACCTTTTATACTGCCATCTCCAACGTTCTTGCCAAGCTAGTTACAATAAAGACCTCTTTTTTGAGAATTCATAGTCTAGCAAAGGACTCTCATTGGCTATTGATGATCAAGTATGTTAGTTGAAACGTGGGAGATCAAGTGTGAGACCCATGCTTTGGCACGAATGGGTCGCCTTGACCGGAGTGATACGACGGCCTCACAGAAAACCGACGTGAAACCACGTGTTGTGTTTCGTCGTGTGAGTGAGGTTACCAGAGGCTCAATTACCCCTCTCCTCCCCTGCCCCAATGTCCCCAATCCCTAAATCCCCAACATTCCTCAAACTCCTGATCCCCAAAAGGCCAGTAACGCACTTTTTTTTGTTAGGACAAGGCCGCCACAACCTCCCAAAACCGCTGCAACTCCTGTAAGCCAGGATCTACAGTAGCGCACTTGTAACGCCACTGTTCCGCGTGTCTATGGGCGACGCCGATTGCTTACCAACAGGTAATCCGTCTGGTCTGGTTTATCCCAGAAAAAAGCGGTATAGTAAGTAAAGCAATACTCACATTCACAGATTTTGGGTCTACCATCAACATCCCTTGGAATACTTTGCTAAGGTCTCGCAAATTGAAGGTGTAATGTGACTTTGAAGGAGTAGGCAATAACTCTTCTACTAAAGCACTGAAAATATCTAAAGAAGCTTTGAGGAACGGCTCCTCCCTTAGATTGATTGCTTTCGATGGATCGAAATTTCGAGTCCAAGATTTAAGGATAGTGTCGAAAATTCCATACTGAAAAAAGTAAGTAGTTATAGTTAAATGATCGAAACGATAAAGTCTATAGTCAGAATTTTAATTAGATTCCAGATTTGACAATAGCTACTGTCATTTTGTGAAATAATGATACCACATATATTAGTGTAGTGATGCACATAAAAACCGATAAACAATCAGTGTGTGTGTTTTATACTAAATGTTACAGAAAGTGACAGGATAGCGATAGCGATGACGGCGACAATTTATAAAATAACTTATTACCATAATACATCTATCTGTTTTATTTGTCATGTTCCTTCATGATTAAATTTTTTTATTTATTTCACACACAATTATAAAAGAAAAGTCTCAGATCGTTAATTAATCGTCAAAACTAAATTATCGGTTAGAAATATTTAATTTCCTGATATACTTAGTTTACGAGAGTAAAATTATAAACGAGAAGAATCGATCCAGAAATATTGCATTTCTATATCGAATAATTTCGCAACGTCACTATTTAGTACTTGTCATAACGTTGCAACACTGAAATTGTCAAATCTGGAATCGAATTAAAATTCCGAGTATAGTGTGTCACACGGATATGAACATCTGTATCTGAAAATGGTATAACCAGAAGATGTTAGAAGGGAAAAAGCACGCCTGCCAAACGAGGATATTATGGCAAAATCTGTCATGTAGGGGAAATACATAGTTCAGCGACGGAAAATCAAGGGCTGATGATAATACCTTGCTGGAATATTCCATTTCTGTGAAGGAGATGTAGTGGAAGTGTCGCATAAGGCGCATGGTAACTGGGTTGCGGCCACCGCCAGGCGGGCCCATCGCCGCTACGATACCCACGTCCACCAGCGTCATAAAGTCACCGATATTGTGTCGGTCGTACCAACCTGCACATTAATTGATAATAACATAACATCACGCCTTTTATCCCCGAAGGGATAGGCAGCGGTGAACATTACGGCCCTTAATGCCACTGTACAATGTAACATCCACTTTCCACTATTTATGTTATGATTTCCATGTAATAGGGGGTGAGCCTATTGCCATATACCGGGCACAATTCCAGGCTCCGTGCTACTACTGAGATTTTTTTAAAACCCAGTAATACTTTGCTCTACCCGGAAATCGAACCCGAGACCCCTTGCCCGGCAGCCGCACTTGCGACCACTCAGCCAACGAGGCAATTAATTGATAATAGTTATCATTAAATGGAAATGATTAGCAAGCTCGAGTGGCAGTCGGCCGGTCACATTGGTATAGACGTGATCTTTAGGGGAGACCGCATCTAGGCCAACGTAGTGTAGCATGGCATCCAAATGCATAGAGCTGAAGTTCGAGCTCAGTGGCGAACTATTAAACTGTCAAACACCAAGCGGTCACCGGTGACCGCGACCTATTGTTCTTTAATTGTGTCTATAAAACCGGTACTCGACGAGTTAAAGAAGCTTATGTCCAGCAGTGCACGGAAACCACCTGAGTACCAAGCACGAATAACTATCGCAATCGTAACGTAATAGTATCGAGTGCGTTCGGCGCTCTGATTGGCTGGTTTACTGGAGCCGGCCAATCACAGCGCCGAACGCACTCGATATTATTACGTTACGATTGCGATAGTTATTCGTGCTTGGTACTCTGATGATGTTAATTATATATAATACGTATGTCTTACAAATAAGGTTCAAATCATAACAGATCTTGAATTGTGTCTTTTAGTCCCTTAACGCCAGTTTTAATAACTGGTAGACTTGCCTCTCAGGAACAAAAATTTCACTCGTTGTTTGGTGGTTATGTCAAAATTCTATCTCAAATATACCGTTTTTTTTTGTTGACGGGGGGAAACCTTCCAAAGGCGCCTAGCTTTTTGGGGAAAAAGACTAGGGAGTGTGGGATTTTTACCTCACTAAAACCTCCCCGGTGGCCACCATCCGCACTTGAAGGGGGCACCGGGTCCTCTTAGTAGACCAACTCCGGTGCCCTCATAGTGCAACGCCTGTTACGGCACCTATGGAGATCTATGTGTCTCTCCTAGAGCCTCTCTGTGCACTGCACGGCGACACGTAACCACTGTGCCGCCGTCATCCTTGAGGTCATTAGGTGGGCGCCTAGATTCCCCACTCTATGCGCCCATGACCCCAAAGGTTTGCCTGCCAATATTGTACGCAGGAAATCAACATATTAGGCGCTGCATCTCAAATATACCTACAGATTAGTTAATAATGAACTAACCTCCAAAGTCCATGAACTGTCTTAACAATTCGATGGGAGGTTGAGCTCCATACACTTCGAGTGCAGGCATGTTCAGATCATCTATGAAGAACACCTGGCGCTTGGTAGGCGGCGGACCAAACACACCACGGCGACGACGCTCAAGCTTTCCATCTATCACGTCCTACCAGAATATGATCAAATCTAATATCATTAACAACAAGCACATCGTAACTGGTAAGTGAGGGTTGATAGTGAAAATATTAGATTAATCTTATACTATTATATAAAGCGGAAGTTTGTTTTTTCTTTGTTTGTTTGAACGCGATAATCTCCGTAACTACAAGTCTGATTTGAATAATTATTTTTGTGTTGGATAGCGCATTTATCGAGGATGGCTATAGGCTATAAAACATCACGCTACGACCAATAGGAGCTGAGCAAAGCGTATGAAACCGCGCGGAAGTAACTAGTAAAATATAAAAGTGACCTGAAATACTTGGAGAAAACATGGAGCCCGCTTTTTTGCTCGGATTTCAATTACCTGAGTCTGATTAGCAGATGTCCTGGCTGAGAATACAAGAAATTCGCATATGAATTTCTTGTGCAATCCGTGTGCCAGTTTCGCAGTGATGGTAACCGTCTTGCCTGTACCAGTGGGTCCCACACATATGACATGGTTGTAGTTTGTGATCTTATAGCCTAGTATCGCTTGGCTTCGTACGTTATCCAGCGTTGGGACTTCAATGTCTAGAAAAATACATTTTTTTAAGCGATGCTTCACACTGGGCTTTGCTCCTGTATCGTGGGTGCGTTTACAAACATAAAAGTTCACACACACACATGATATAGTGTGTAACAATACTTCGTGCACCCGAAACAACAATTTCTGGATCCCACAAAGAGTTTTTCCTTGCAAACCGCGGCACGATGCACGGTAGCCAGTAGTACCCAATCACCGCAGCAACCGTGCAGTCGATGATTATTATTTTTGTCACCATTTTGCAAAAGTCATAGTAAATCTTTGCAGTCAAATTGTATTTTAAAATTGTAGACGAGTATGCAGTTAGATGCGTTTGTATTACAAACCTGCGTACTGCCAATCGGAATCAACTACGTAAGGTGCCATATTCGCCATCCAGTTGTACCAGTAGGGCTGGGCTGGTTCGCCGTCTTCAGTCAGGTCTGTGAAACCCCCATCATGGAGCCTGATAAATAAACGAATGAAAATAGACTTCTTTGTAAAACGATAAAGTACAGGATTATTTAATGAAAGTCATTCATGTTTGCTCTAATGGACACAAACGTGACTGATTATCAGGGATGTTAGGGAGCTCCGTAACTATAACAGAAAATATCGGATATCCGATATAAAAAAAACCTGTAACCATAACCGATTTCGAAATAAAAGTTTCGGATACTATCTGATAGGGGCGTGACGTATAAATGAAACCATTATTTTATTAGCTATTTGTATTTTACTTTTGAAATTCCTTAAAATTTTAATATCCGTAACCGAAGTTATCCGAAACATATAATCCGAAATAATTTCATATCCGTATCCGTAAACGTATCCAGTATAATGATTATTTCCATATCCGTATCCGAAAAGTTCATATTCATAAAATCCCTGTATTGTAACTTTCGTGAGACATACTAAATAAATTATTATGTTTTCGGCTTACTCAGTAGCAGCGCAACAGTCGCCGCGTCGCGGGTCGCAAAGTGCTGCTCATGAATATGAGCCTCTAGCATGGCTTGAAACTAGTCGAGTTCCTCGTCGAATTACTACGTGAGTAAGCCGAAAACATAATAATTCATAAAATCCCTGCTGATTATCAAACAAGGGGTATCATTTTTGATTCGCAGGTCCAATCTATAGAAGTGATTCAACAATCCAATAGTTACAAGTTGGTGAGTCTGGGTGTAAGTAATATAATCGTGTTTCTAAACGCACTGACGACAAATGTAATCATGAGATACGTATGATATAGCGGTCACTTACGTATAATCATAGACTCTTCCCACTTCCGGGAACAAAGGCTTGAGTCCATTTTCGACAGTGGCTTTTCTTATGAATTCAGAGAATATACCGCGACTGTTCAGGTCACACGTCGCTCCCACAGACCAAATAATGGACCAGATTACCCACAAGGGCGCCAAACGAGCTATAAAAGATAAATTATCTTTCAAAATATTCACCAAATATATACTTAATGAGCAGTCTTCTGTTTTAATTTAAAATAACACGACAGAGCTACGACAATTTGGTAGGTTTATTCACAAATTAGAATCAAGACTGGCGGCGCACCGACACAAAGAAATCCCCGAAAGCTTTGGCGTGAGTTAGCGGAGTGTGTAGATGAAGAAGCGCGGACTTGCGCAGCCGTGGGTTTTTATACCCCCGTTCCGCGCGTCATCGCCTCTATGGTCCATGGCCATACTAATGCGCCGACATACTAAAACCTTCTAAGTGTAACACACACTTTTATAAAAACCGCATCAAATTCGGTTCCGCCAATCGTGAGATAATCGCGCACAAACATACATACATACAGGTCACACTGAGAACCTCCTTTTTTGAAGTCGATTAAAGACTTTATTCTTAATCCAAATACTCACGCATCAAAGCAAGGAAGTTGGCTGGTGGTGGTGGCCTATCGTCCTTTCCAGTCAGAGGCCTGAGCTTAAAGTCCAGCAGCTCGAGGAACTTTAGGACCAGGGCCGAGTCTATGGAGGCCACGATCTCCGTCATCTCAGCACGCAACAGTTCCAGTGCAGGGTACAAGTACGTTGTGATGAGAGGCACTATCAGCTTGCGGATGGGATCTGCTATCTATGAAAGAATTTTCTAATACAGTAGGGGAAAGCTGTGAGTCGTTCGATTATAGTAATATATTCTCTTTTATTGTCTTTTTCGGTTCCTAGGTTAGATAAATTATTATCAGGGTTTGGGAAAACATTTAAGTGATTGTGCTGTGTATGACAAATGACAACATGCTAACCTACAAAATAACTGAAAAGTAGGGGTTGCAATAAATACAAAAACCCTAAAAGGCCGTCTTAGCACTTGTAACTCCTTTGGTGTTGCAGGTGCGTGGACGGCGCCGATGGCTTTTTTTAAAGGGAGAAAATCATCGGATGGCCTCTCCCGCCTGGGTGAGGCGGGCTTACCATTAGGTGATCCGTCTACTCGTCGTCCTAGACTACAAAAAAAAGAAAAAACAAAGTATGGTATTAAAAGTTAATTTAGCTCATCATACCGGAGGAAGATTGCTCTTAATCCAGGCGTTAACAAGAGGTGGTAAACCGACTACTTGTGTGTCCAAGTACACCATGCCGCATCGGGACACGGTGGCGGGCGAAGCCACGGTCAGGTCAGCCACTTCGAAGATCATACGCTGACGTTCAGTCAGCTTCATAATCTCGCCGCTAGACAAACATAGCTTCTTGTTGTCGTCTAATACCTGAAATAAAATGTAAATAATATCAAAACCAAGTTGCGAGTAAAATAAAAATTTACGGGAAAGAGTTATACTTAAGCACGAATGGGCCGGCCCGACTGGTGTGATACCACGGCCTTACAGACAACAGCAACTGTAGCCAAATGCCACCTAGCGCTTGTCTACATGAAGAATAGAAAACCAAATTATATGGGATTGATGTTAATTTTGACACTTGTTAGTGTGTGGCGACGTATGCCACATGTCAACGGATGACGTCACAAGAATCCTACATCGCACATGCAAAGTTTACAAGCGAATAAACACGGATAGAAAATCCCAACGAACAACTGTTGGGCAGAAAGCCCGCCAGGCACGATCACCTCGCCTGGTCGGAGGATCCTCCTTTTCCGATCTTAGGGAACTATACTCTCTGTTCCCTAAAGTGGTGACCCCGACGTGATTGGAAACAACCTTCACTTCACGGAGCAGATTAGCACCGTCATCCGTATCGCCATCCCTCTCATTCATCACTTCTCCGCTGAGCGGTAATCAAGTCGCAGCCTACCAGCATCCTCGGCCTCATCAGGGACCACCATCACCTGCAACGAAGTTGTGCAGCCTGGTTCTTCCCTACGGCCTCACCAGCGTCTAGGCACAGCACTTCTGCACACGGTCTGAAGGACACCTCCTCCCGTCAACGCAGATGCCGGCCACTACGCACCTACCCTCGCAGCATCTATTCCCCGACTCACCGTGGGACACTGCGAACTCATCTCTCCGACTCACTGGAGTTTCACCCTGCACCGCTCACCCGACTCACTGGGCACTCAGCGGCACGGTTCCGACCCACTGGAACTAGGGACGTTCTACACTGGCTCTGGCACCGCTCATCTCAAGCATCGACAGCAGTCTCAGCGGAATCGACCTCCGGTCTTGGGAGGGAGTGATGTGGCGACGTATGCCACATGTCAACGGATGACGTCACAAGAATCCTACATCGCACATGCAAAGTTTACAAGCGAATAAACACGGATAGAAAATCCCAACGAACAACTGTTGGGCAGAAAGCCCGCCAGGCACGATCACCTCGCCTGGTCGGAGGATCCTCCTTTTCCGATCTTAGGGAACTATACACTCTGTTCCCTAAAAGTGACATCCCCATTCATTTTGATTTCTACTCTCTCTGTAGACAAGCGCTAAAGTGGCGTTTGTTTGGCTAAAGGCCCTGGATTGAAACAACATTTGCGTTATGTTTCACCGCATTTAGTGAGTTCATTATCTTTTTCCGCTTACTCACGTAACTATTTGACGAGGTACTCAACTATTTTCAAGCCATGCTAGAGGCTCATATTCATAAGCAGCATACCGCGACCCGCGACGCGGCGACTGTCGCGTTGCTACTGGCTACTCGAGTCTACCGCTCTGCCGTGATTCACGCACACGCTCCTGCACCTCCGCGTTTTATTCGCGCGCACGTTAGACTCGTTCGCCAGCGGCCGCGTAGACACGGTAATATTATCATACAGTAGTGTAACGGCCGCATGACAGAGTTAAATACCTACAGCTGCGCGGTACGTAAACGTGCGTTAGGGCTGCCCGTCTCCAGTATTTTAGTTACATTTGCCTACTTTCTGTTTCTATTTAGTTTTGTCCTTTTTTTACACAAACAAATTAAATACTTCGTATACGAAATAGGAAGTGTTAAAAGAGGGGACTATTGTGAGGCACCACATGTTCAATAAAAATGCGTGTTGCTTTTTGATTGGTAGACTTAATTTTAAAAAACATGTTGTTGTTTGAAAATCAAATCGGGGTTATAAATTTGCGACCGAAAATATTTGCAAAAAAAATACAACCAAAAACGGCACAATATATCCTACTCGCCATATTAAATATGTACTTGAACTTATTTTTAGTGAAAAATCGCGCGATTAATGTTAAAAAAATCGACACACAGCCCGTTCGTCACTGCGGCACAGTCGCGACTGTTATCATGCCGAATGCATGTCACGATCGAGGCGCGTAGGCTAGTCAGGCACAGCTTACGTTTCGTCCGTTTGTATGAAGTTGGAATACTGTATGATAATATTACCGTGGCGTAGATGTTGTATTCGAAACTAGTCGAGGTCCTCGTCAAACGTAATAAGTAATTTAGTATGCCTCATGAACGTTTTAATATAAATGCAATTAGTGAGGTTGCCGCGAAGGTCCGAGGCTGGCAACGCACTTGTAACTCTGGTATTAAGTGTGTCCATGGGCAGTGCCGTTTGCTTACAACTGGTACATTTGTTTGGTCGTTTGCCCCTGAAAGGGTTGATGTTATAATATGTAAATGTTAGGTTTTTAGGTGAGCAGGGCTTACTGTATTCATGTTCTCAATCCACACGGCGTCCACTGGACCATCGAAGACGTACCAGCGTTTGTCCATATCTTCTACTGCAATACCTTGCCGGACTAAACTTGAGAGAATCCCGTCCGTCCTAAATACAATCGGATAAGGTTCGAATTACATGAAAAAAGTTAAATTGATGTGATAATGAATTACTTTGAAACATTGTAAATGAAAATATCTAATAAAAACAAATATAAATGTTGTTCAAAGTGGTAACGGGATCATAGCGCGATCAACATTTAATTATAATAAAATTATTATTAGTTAGAGTTGCCACGTCGCTCGATAGATGGTGTTAATATCGAGCTAGATCGCGCTACGGTTTCGTTACATCAATATGGTTAGGTTACTCGTCAAACGTGACGTTGTCGAGTACAACCAGCGCCCCTAGCGGGAAAAAGGCACTAAGGAAGTGAATAAAAAGTGAAGTAACAGTGGCGTTTGTGTTGTTTCTCCAAATCCTCGGAAGCCGACCCTGTGTCTTCTACACCACTATAAATTAGTCTAACGACTGCCTCATTAATCAAGCGGTCCACAGTGTGGCTACTGAACAAAGGGTCATAGGATCGATTCCAAGGACATACATGGGACTATAACTGTTGAAAAATATGTATACTAATTTTAATAAGCGCTTTTTGAAGAAATAAACGTGTGATGTAATGTTAAGTTATGAACATAGAGTTACCATTCATGGGTTTGCAGGTCGAACTCTCCATAGAGCTGACCCATGGTGATAGACTTGGGGTTGACAACGAAAGTATGCACCGGCGTGAATGGAAACCCATCGGGAGCCAACTTCCCCTTGATTGCAGTCAATGCGTCACGAAGAGTCTCATAACACTGACCAAAGAAAGACATCTACGTTTTAAATATCTATATACATACTAGCGGACCCGACAGACGTTGTCCTGCATATACATTTGAATGTATAAACAAAAATTCACTCAAATTAGTTCAGCCGTTTAGGATAAATAACCTAAATATCGACGGCAGCGCCATCTGCCGGGCGATTTGTGAATCTAAACCATCTAGGGCGCCACTCAAACGCGCACAGAAAAAATCATTTAAATCAGTGAAATTCAATGACATACAAACGTACAGCAGAATTATATATATTAAGATATGAAAGCAGGTCTTGTTAGTTGTACTATTTATAACTCAAGAACGGCTACAACGATTTGGATGAAAATTGGTGGGGAGGTAGCTGAGACGGACATAGGACTTTTTTATCCAATACTTCTTTTTACTTTTTACCGAAAATCACGAACAGGAACGGGAAAAAACGGGATTGTGCGTACGAAGTCGCGGGCAAAAGTTAGTAATACATAAAAAAAAGTTTACATTAACGGTTTTAATGACCTCTATTCTACCAATAAAGCTCTTACGTTTGATATTCATAATGGAAGACATTATATGGTCGTCAAGATTATGAATATGAAAATAAGAATGTATTACTCACATAATTATATACTAGAAAAAGAAATAAAGATAAATATTTTCATAGCAAGGACCAGTTGCGGTACAGTGCAACATATTTAAGATTAAAATGATGATCTGTCTATAATAGGGTAGACGACTAATTTTCATTTTAATGTCCGTCTGGTAGATTATTTAAAAACATTAGACACGTATTTTTTATTTTCTTAGGGAAACGAATTTTTTCCAAGATATATTGATTTGAAATGTCGCGTGACGTCACTTCTCAGTACATTTTATACTAAGAAATGACGTTTTAGCCCCCACTCCTAAACTTTGGTTTGTTTTATCTAAGTATTGTTTTATTATACGACAAAATAAAAAAATACGTGTCTTATATTTTTAAATTACCTAACTTATGGACTAATTAGATTTTTAATTTTCATACCCTGTCATCATCCCCATTATGGACCCTTGTCATGGCTGGAAACTAGTCGAGTAACTTCATCGACCACATCACGCGGGTAAGCCGTATTGCCTAATTTAATATGAATATTGCCTAATTTGGGTGCACGGTTGGTGCGGTGGCTAGGCAACTGGCTGCCGCGCAACGTGTCGCGGGTTCGATTCCCGCATGGAACCAGTTGTCTTTGTGTGAGTGTCATGTGTATGTGAACTTGTATGTTTGTAAACGCACCCACGACACAGGAGAAAATCCTAGTGTGGGGCAACGTTTTAAAAAACTAATAAATTTTTTAACCTACCTTAGTTTTTCCAGCTCCTGCCGGCCCGACCAACATGAGCCCATGCCTCACCACCGTCGTCTCATAAAGCTGAATCACTTTAAATATAAACGCTGCAACGACAATACATATCGTCAGCAGCTGTAGCCAAATGCCACCTAGCGCTTCTCTACATGTAGAATAGAAAACCAAATTATATGGAATTGACGTAAATTTTGACACTTGTCAGTGTCATCCCCATACATTTTGATTTCTACTCTCACTGTAGACAAGCGCTAAAGTGGCATTTGGCTAAAGGTCCAGATTATTATGGTAACCTTATATTAGTATTCGTACTAAGTTTTGTTATACGACTCACAATAAAGGTCGTCGTATCCTCTTTTGATGAGTATGTTTCTTATGGACGTTTCCATAATACCGTAGTCCACTACAGGCACTTCCACGCGTGGGAACAGATCTGATATTATACCTAAATAGGAAAATAATTAGTATTATTATGTAGTTTTTTTTTCTTTTTTTTTCTTAAGGGTTACACATTTCTACACATTAACATTAGTGGCACAAACTGCACGGTTAGTGTTACTCGCTAAAACAATTGGGATGATGACAGGGTATGAAAATTAAAAATATAATTAGTCCGTAAGTCAGGTAATGAAAAAATATTAGACACGTATTTTTTATTTTGTCATATAATAAAACAATACTTAGATAAAACGAATCAAAGTTAAGGAGTGGGGGATAAAACGTCATTTCTACGTATAAAATGTACATAGAAGTGACGTCACGCGACATTTCAAATCAATATCACGTCGAAATTATTCGTTTCTGTAAGAAAATAAAAAATACGTGTCTAATGATTTAAAATAATCTACCAGACGGATATTAAAATAAAAATTAGGCATCTACCCTATTGTATCATTTGGGTCGAAACAATCGAACCTATGACACGTTGCTAAGCAACCCCACGTTCTAACCGTGGGTGTCACTCTGCTGAACAAAAGCCTCTTCTCACGCGAAGAAAGAAACTGATCTTTAAATACCAAGATTGCTGATGTTATACTTTATTCCATGGTATAACACTGAAAAGTTAGTTTGTTTGAACGCGCTTATCTCAAGCAATACTGATCCGATTTGAAAAAATATTTGTGTTGGATAGTCCATTTATCGAGGAAGGCTATAGACTATAAAACATCACGCTACGACTAATAGAAGCCGAGCAGAGCGGGTGAAACCGCGCGGACGTAGCTAGCATTAAATAAATTAATAAATATTAACGTACCGTTAAACAACACCAAATCGTTAGCTAAGAACTTCGGTACATTTACATCTCTCAATGCTCGGAGAACTATCTGTCGTTCATCACCGTCGGGCATCTGCCGTATCAAGTTGCCGGCGACCGTGATCACCGTCTTCACGGCTCGCATACCGAAATCATAGTGGTCCTATTGCAAGCATGCATCATTAAACTGTCAAACACAGCGATGACACCGGTGTCCACACACCTATTGTACTTTAATTGTGTCTATAATAAAGGTACTCAAAGGGTTAATAATGTCCCCCGATAGATTTTGATCACGTTGGCCACGACCAGTCTGTCTAACTAGACTAGCCTACAACCCAGGAGGTATTAAAGTTCCGGCGAGAGGTCACAAGAGGAACAACGGCTTTACGTAGTTTCAGAGACAAGGGGGTAAAACATAGGCAAAACATTCCTGGCTTCAGGCAAGTGATTGTCATTTAAATGTTTACCTGACGAGACTTAGATATGGAACTATTTCAATTCAAATTCATTTATTAATTGGGTAGTTTCCAGGGTATCAAAATTAAAAATCTAATTAGTCCGTCAGTAAGATAATGAAAAGTTAAGTTTAGGAGTGGGAGGTCGTTACATCATAACGTGCTACAAAATGTGACACGCTGTGACGTCACACGATATTTCAGAATAATATATCGTCGAAAGTATTTAATTTTGTGAGAAAAGAAAAATACGTGTCTATAGTTTTAAATTAATGTACCAGACGGACATTAAAATAAAATTTAGCAAACTACCCTATTGTAGGTGTGTAATTTGATATGTAAGTCAGCAGCCAATGGTCGGTAATTAATTAAGTGCATCTTACCTGGGCAGAAAGTTGTTCAGAACTAAGTCTGAAAGTAGTGGTAATCTTTCCAGCTAGGATCTTGGCTTCAGAGAAACCGAAGGAGAAGAGAGAGATCTCAGCGATCAGGGCGTAATCTGGTACCATCATCGCGATAGGTCGGAACAATGCTTTCAGGTTATCCGGTAACTCGGTACGACCTGTAATCAATGACATTACATTCATCAGATCAACAACTCATGATAGATTGCAACAACAATCCCTAACGCTACGTCCTACTTGAGCGATCTACAAGAGAACGATTATGAAACGGTGACACGCGAATTCAGAGCGATGCGGTACGACGCAGCGGCTATGTCGTTCGTGCATGCCAATCGTTTCGCTTCATTTTTGTTTATCAAACTAAAACATGCACCGCATCCAAATATGACTGTTCGCGAGAAAATATCTAACCAACGGATTGCGTCGCGTCATTTTGCCCCGCTCCGCACCGCCTCCCACGGGCGTATTGTCACGTAGGACATTTCAATAAATTTCGACAGTTTGTTGTTTTCGCAACGCGCCGTATCGCTCCGCATTCGCTTCTAGATCACTCACGGAGGACGTAGCGTTCGTCGTATTTGCGATGCAAAGAGTAACGAAGTATACCAAGCCTATGTATTTTGCTTGCGAGTACAGAAATTGATAGGAATTTATACACGTACCAGCGTATCCAGGGTTCATAGTGATGAAGACAGCGCAGGAGCGTTTCAGAGGGAGGTCCACACCTTCAAACATGAACCTATCCAGATTTGATATTTGAGCTTTCTGTATAGTCGCCACCTGGTAACAACGAATTAAGTTTGCACCATCGTCAATATGAACATTTATGAATAACTAGCTTTTACCCGCGGCTTCGCTCGCGTCACAAAAGGATAAAAAGCCATTGTGACATATACCAATACACACAGCGCCGTCTATACCAATTCTTTTGTTTTCCCTCGGGAATATCAAAATTTTCCGGGATAAAAATTACCCTATTATTTAATCCGGACTTCTAACTTTACGTCTGCAAAAATTCAAAGCAATTGGTTTAGTAGTTACGGCGTGAAAGTGGAACAAACAAACAAACTCACTTTCCGATTTATAATATTAGTAAGGATGTTCTTCAACTCGTCTGCCGAAAGTAGACATGTCATAATGACATGCTCTATAATAGCGTGCTACGATTTAGATAAACGGACCGCATTTCAACTGCAATCCAACTAAAATTTGCTGCAAAGTTCCGCGCACCTTAAAGGGTCATCAGACCACCACGGATGGGGTCCAATAGGGCTGATGCCGATACGGAGCCGCGGAGGACTTAACGAGTTGGCGGGGCTCCGGTTCGATATGCAGGAGTAGGAACGGGGTGGGTTTTAGTCAGTAAGAGTCTGACACTCCCTGTGAGGTGTGAGAAGAAATTCGATGATTTTCTCCCCTTAAAAAAAAACAGCAAACGTGCAGTAGAATTGCAGCCATGACCAAACGGTTTGTAATCAAACGAGTAGTACGATTGCAGTCCTATTTCAGTCGTATCAACTGCGTTCAAACTGCATCCGAACTGCAACTTACAGATGGATTGCAGTTGAAATGCGGTTCGTCTATTTAGAGTTTAAGACCCAAAAATTCTTAACTCCTACTATACAATATGCATAGGACTAATGAATATAACTGACAAAAAGTGGGCATTACATTTTTTACTCTGTTTACCCGTACTTAATGTAAAAGTACATACCTGTTGCGCCACAACTGATAGTACTTCAATATCAATACGATTGAACTCGTCGAAACATGCCCACGCACCCGACCTAAATACATAGAGATACATCATAATGGAAAATTAAGAAAATTCTAATCTATTATTACTCATGTAACTGTTTAACGAGGAAACTCGTTCAGCAGCATTCCGCAATACAGGACGCAGCGAACGTCGAATATGAGCCCCCAGCGTGGCTTGAAACTGTTCGAGTTTCCGCATCAACAGGTTGCGTGAGTACGTACCAATTAATTAGTTATGTCTCACGACAGTTTAAAATACTTATATTTTCAACTTATTTGTTTCCAATAATATCGATAAACTTTTTTTTCCAAGCACTTACGCAGCCAATCCTTTGAAGAATTTCCCCATAGCCATGAAGTCGAGCTGATCTGAACAGTTGAATACCACGCATTGTACTGCCAAAGCTTTTGCCAAATCCTGGAAAGGCAGTACATAATTATTACGTATTACTGGAATACCTTATATAATACACTGATTAACAACAAAACTAAACGCGCAATGAAACAAATAAGATATTGACGACATTCTCATTCCCATATCTTGAAAGAAAGAAAGAAAGAAAAATGGTTTATTTGCACACCGTCACAAAGTACAATAACACACAAAAAAAAATTAAACAGTGAAGATTAGTTAAAATTATCTTAATATGGGCCTAAATATGTAGGGAATAAACCACCTCAGGCAGTAAAAAACTCGTTCCTTCCTTTACTTTAAATTAAAAACAGGGAGCCCCACAATAATATTTTTCCCTGGATCGAGTTTGAATTTACAAAACATAGACCAAATTCACATACACCACCATACTTAAACGGAATAATGATCTGTGGATCCCAAAAATAATTTTTATAATAACTATCGTGAGGCATACTAAATTACTGCTCACTTCTTACAAGGAAGAGCCCCTTTGTGGCGCGAAACTAGTAGAGCTTTTCTCAGTATATTCACGTGAGTAACCCGCGATTTTTAGTTAACACAGAGTTGTCATTGATTCATTTTACATACCAGTTAGTTGCCTAACCACTGCGTTATCCGTGCTTCATACACTGGTAACCAACTTTATGGTACATATCTGAATATTCTTTTAATATGTGATGGTTCGACGTTTAGCCACTATCGGCCTACGAAGGAGCATGTCTGCCCATTAACGACCTATTTATTCGGGCCTTAAAGGCATTCAGGTAGTACACCCCTTCAATTCGACCAAGAGAGAAGGTCTTTTACCTTAGTAGTCTCAGTCTTTCCGGTGCCAGCAGGGCCAGCTGGAGCACCACCGAACTTGAGGTGCATCGCACACATCAGAGTCAGGTAGCATCGGTCCGTCAGCGGAGTGATCACTAGCCGGCCACTGGAATATAAACCATGTATTTCTGTGTCATAACAAGCATGCTTTGTACGGTCAAAGGTCAAAAGTGCCACCGTAAGACTACTCTCGGTTGCGCTGCAGCGCTTATACAGACATGTACATGCATATTTGTATCCGTGTGCGTACGCGTGCGTGTTTATGCGTACGCACGCGTTTTTATGCACATTAATATGAAATTACTTACGCATTGCCGTGTGAACATGACTCACGGTGGTGGTGGACTTTTGACCTTTGACCTTAAAACGATAAGTACTTATCTACATACATACATAACGTCACGCTTGTCTCCCATGGGTACCAATGGGGCATGTGCTATGCCCCTTACATATCTCTTGCGGTACACAGTGGAGTGTATTATGCATGTTACACTAGCTTCTGCCCGCGGCTTTGTCCATGTTCCCGTGGGAAAAAAGTAGCCTATGTGTTCTTCCAGACGACAATCTACCCTTTGTTCCAAATTTCTTCCCGATCCTTTCAGCCGTTTTGACGTGATAGAGTAACAAACAAACACACTAAACATACATACATTTATAATATTAGTAAGACTAGCTACTTCCGCACGGATTTTTAGGGAACAGAGAGTATAGTTCCCTAAGATCGGAAAAGGAGGATCCTCCGACCAGGCGAGGTGATCGTGCCTGGCGGGCTTTCTGCCCAACAGTTGTCCGTTGGGATTTTCTATCCGTGTTTATTCGCTTGTAAACTTTGCATGTGCGATGTAGGATTCTTGTGACGTCATCCGTTGACATGTGGCATGTGTCGCCACATCACTCCCTCCCAAGACCGGAGGTCGATCCCGCTGAGACGGCTGTCGATGCTGGAGATGATCGGTGCCAGAGCCAGTGTAGAAAGTCCCTAGTTCCAGTGAGTCGGAACTGTGCCGCTGAGTGCCCAGTGAGTCGGGTGAGCGGTGCAGGGCGATACTCCAGTGAGTCGGAGAGATGAGTTCGCAGTGTCCCACGGTGAGTCGGGGAATAGATGCTGCGAGGGTAGGTGCGTAGTGGCCGGCATCTGCGTTGACGGGAGGAGATGTCCTTCAGAACCGTGTGCAGAGGTGCTGTGCCTAGACGCTGGCGAGGCCGTAGGGAAGAACCAGGCTGCACGACTTCGTTGCAGGCGATGGTGGTCCCTGATGAGGCCGAGGATGCTGGTTGGCTGCGACTTGATTACCGCTCAGCGGAGAAATGATGAATGAGAGGGATGGCGATACGGATGACGGTGCTGATCTGCTCCGTTAAGTGAAGGTTGCTTCCAATCACGTCGGGGTCACCACTTTAGGGAACAGAGAGTATAGTTCCCTAAGATCGGAAAAGGAGGATCCTCCGACCAGGCGAGGTGATCGTGCCTGGCGGGCTTTCTGCCCAACAGTTGTCCGTTGGGATTTTCTATCCGTGTTTATTCGCTTGTAAACTTTGCATGTGCGATGTAGGATTCTTGTGACGTCATCCGTTGACATGTGGCATGTGTCGCCACAGATTCACACGCTCTGCTCAGCTTTTATTGGTCGTAGCGTTGTTTTACAGTCTATGGCCATCCTCGATAAATGCGCTATCCAATACAAAAAGAATTATTCAAATCAGACTTGTAGTTACGGAGATTAGCGCGTTCAAACAAACAAACAAAAAAACCGACTCTTCCGTTTTATATACCTCTAATAGTATAAGAGTATAAGATAAGGATTAGTATTAGTAAGATTAGTAAGATAAAAAAAATATTCGATCCTTACCTGTTACCGAGGTATTCATTATGGTAGGGCAAAACAGAGTTGAGGGCTTTCACGTTGCAGCTGTTCTGACTGAACTGGCGGTAGTACCTACTCGTGTCTAATCTTAGCTCATCCTGGAAGATATCCGGCTCCTCACCCGGCTCCAAGGGATACATAGGTTTCACTACCTGATAATACCTGAAAAAAAAACAAAGCACTTATGGAATAAGCCGGTAAACAACTAGACGGACCGGATCAGACGGAGATTGAGGAAGCCTTTTTTTTATTTTTTTTAATGGCACAAGCCCGCCACAACCTCCCAAAACCGAAACGGAGGAAGCCTTCCCTAATCCCAGTAATTGGGCCTCCGGTAACCTTACTCACAGTCGGTTTTCTGTGAGACCGTGGTATCTCTCCAGTCGAGCCGGCCCATTCGTGCCGAAGCATTACTCTCCCACACTTGAAACTATTCGAACTTAAATCATTTATAGGAATTATTTATACTGTTTATGGTAACAAGTTAAAATATAAAATGGTTAAATGGTTACGTAATGATAGTGATGACATCGGTGGCGCCTAGTCTATAACAATTTAAACTTCATTGTAGAGATCATACCCAAACTCAGGACATTGTATTCCATACGGGAATCTAATCTGCGCCAGTTCGCATAGCAATCAGACGTTCGATCGAGCAAATGCCATCAAAATTAAATCATATGTTCCAATTAGACCAATACTAGCCACCTTAGAACGCCTAATAAAAATATTTAACTCTTTGAGGACCGTCATTATAGACACAATTAAAGAACAATAGGTTGCGGTCACCGGTGTCCTCGCGGTGTTTGACAGTTTAAATACAAAAAGGGTCAGTCTATCTGTCAGTCCCCTAGTGAGACTATTTGCTCGTCCCATTGTCAGACTCCGAACTAAAAACTCCATGGTTTTAATAAGTATCATATATCTCGAATCAATTCTGTGTGGAGTAAGAATTAAATCTTCTCACCGAAGCTGGCAGATCCATTGGAAGTCGGTGTTATATCGGACATTCTCGTCAACTAAGCTCTTGGTGACGTCACGGGCGTGCACCTCGACCACGATGAGAGCGCAGAGTACCTCGCGTTGGAAGTACGTCAGCTCTCCTTTTACTAAAGCGCGGAGTGTATCCAGCTAGCAATAAAGAAATGTAGAATACAATATTTTTGTATTATGATATAACCGTCGTACGCCAAGCGAAAAGCTGCTATGAGCCCCTATCCTGACTTGAAACTAGTCGGGTCATCTTGTCAAATATGATAGTAAACCGCAGAATATAATAAATTTTGAATACAATATCTCATCATCATCATCATCATCAACAGTCTATAAGTGGCCACTGCTAACCAAACGGTAAATTCAAACTTATAATTAGAAATTATAAGCTCAGGTTTCTTCACAATATTTTCCTTCACCGTTTGTCAGTGGTGTCTAAATAAACTTAGAAAGTACATACAACTCGGAAAATGTCACATCGATACTTGCCGTTAGTAGGTTTCGAACCTGCATTCTCATGCATAAGAAGCGGGCGTCTTAAACCTCCGGGCAACCACGACATTATTATATCTCAAAGAACTAGCATTTGTTACCATTAGCCCATTTTGTCCAAAGCTGGACGAACTTTTAGTTACACACCAAATTAATAAGAAAACGATTTGAAAGTGTGACGATGGGTAATATAAGTGTTTTAAATCTTTTTTTATTACAACAGAAAATATCCATGACGTGGCAATTGAGTTATTTTAAGACATTTACCTGTTTCAGATTTTCTTCAAAGTAGAATTCCATTCTGTATTCTTCTATAGCTTTTTCGACATTAGCGGTCCAAGCGGTCTGCGATCCAGCGATGACCACTTGACCTGGCCAACGCAGCACCCACTCCACACGAGGTATTAACCACAACTCCTCCAAAGCCTCAACCAATGTCAGTCGGACTGGCGAAAAAAGGAAATGAGTCATACAGCATGTTTAACTGACTTGAAAAGTTGTATTAAAGAAGTTGTATTTTTTTTAGTGAAACAAGTAAATTTATTTATGCAAACAGGCTACAAGACAGCACTTTCACACGACAATTTTATGAAGCGAACGATGAGGTCGACATTTCCTAATTCACTTCTCTGAGAAAAATGCCGAAACAAACTCATAGGTCTGTCTCTTTTAAAGTCCAGACAAATTTGTATAAAAGATCATGTGTAAGAACCGTGCAAGTTCTTTCTGTAGTGGCCGGTACAACAATCTGTTGATCACACAAAGAGTTGTTCCGTGTGGGAATCGAACCCAGCCACCGCGCCAACCGTGCAATCGATTGATGAAATATCTCTGAGTACGGCAGTTACTTGCGTAACTCTTCAATGAGAAACTCGACTAGTTTCAAGCCACGCTAGGGGATGATATTCTTGAGCAGCACACGACTCGTCAAACAGTTATATGAGCAAGTCGGTAAACATAATAGTTAAATTAGTATGTCTGACGAAAGTTATAAATACAAAAACAGCATTTTTTGTAACTTCTCTGGTATTGCGGGTATCCATGGACAGTGTTGATTGCTTACCATCAGGTTATGACCTGCGCTTTGCCGCTCTATGCCTCTAAAAAGTACACATAATATATTACTGCCTCGTTGGCCGACTGGTCGCATAAAATAGTGAAAAGTGTGTGTTACATTGTACAGTGGCATTAAGTGCTGTAATGTTAATAATGTGCACCGCTGCCTACCCCTTTGGGGGTAAAAGGCGTGAAGTTATGTTATGTGTATTTTTTCACAATAGTTTAAAAAACTTACTAGTGTTCTTCATGGTGTCTTCAAGCAGAAGCAGCCACTGTTCCACGTTAGAAGTTGGACGGAACTTGTACTTGAGTTCAACGATCTCTCCCTCACTGGAGTGCATTTCAGTGATCATGAGATCCGACTGGAAGGTAACCTGTGACATATTCTTACATTTTAGCTAAATATTTTATTAGACAGTCGTTAATGCAACAACCTCACTTTGTGCCGTACCTACTAATCGCATTAGTAATACCAGCGGGGTTGTTATGACGTCCTGAAGTCAGAATGGTTCCATTGAGGGAAATAAACAGAGTTATACAAGTCGTCTTTTTTTAAGGGGGGGAGGGGGGAAATCATCGAATGACTGCTCCCGCCTGGGTGAGGCGGGAGGGAGTGTCAGACTCTTACTGACTAAAAACCACTCCGTTCCTAAATATGATACACGCGCATACCGCGCATATGATACACGCGCGCGAACACCTTCGCTTTCAGATCCCACGGCGGCAATCCGGCAAAGAGGTTCGCCGCCTTCCCGAAGATCGTGCGGTATCCGCGGATCATTCGGATCGCCATGACCCTCTGTGATATAAGCAGGGCCCGACCCGGCCGCCGCGTCAGGTCCGGCGCCCACACAGGGGCGCCGTTGAGGGCCATGGACCACACGATCCCCGCGTAAAACCTCCGGCAGGAGTCCTTTGGCCCCCCGAGGTTGGGTAGGAGGCGCTTAAGAGACAAGTCGTCTAGCGAGATCTCGTTCCCTCAAGGGAATCATTCTGACTTTAGGACGTCAAAATAACCCCGCTGATCGGTAAATAGATGGCCGAAATAGTCTTGTAACAAAATCATAATAAAATAATTATTACACAACAAAACGTTTATAATATAAGACTACTTGATTCCTCCCAGCGGCTTTTCCCGCGTTCCTGTACGATAAAAAGTGGCCTAAGTCTAATTCCAGGCTATAATCTACGCCTGTTCCTAATTGCATCTCGATCCCTTCAATGTCCTTCAGCCGTTTTGACGTGAAAGAGAAAGAAAGAAAGAAACAAACAAACACACACATAAATATTCGCATTCATAATATTAGTAGGTTATAATATGTAGGTACCCCGCAACGAAAAAGACGTTGCAATATAAATATTGTAAACGGAATGTTTAACATTTAACAGCATTATTTTTACCTTGGCAATATTTTCGAAGCACTTCCTGAGATGAGGCTGTACTGCCCTTGGGTTGCGAGACTGTGAAAGAATCTCCAGCAATTCATCATCACTGAGGAAGAAGAATCTTGGGAACCTCAACCGCTTCAGTTCCAGGTACTCGTTGAGTCCTCGAGACACTACCGCCAATAAGTGAATGGCTTCTTGCAAACTATCCAACAACCGACTGTCCGGACATATAATCATGATCTGCAAAAAATTTTATACAAAATCAAGCCTGCGATATCAGAATATCTTCATCCATTGTAACAAATTTGAGTGTGCGGTCTCAATCATGAATTTAACATTTGTCTCGGAGTTCTGCCATCGACATCGATAACGATAAAACGGTTACATAAAAGATTATGTATGTTACAAACGTATTAAAGATTTTTTATAGCATAAGCCGGTAAACGAGCAGACGGATCACCTGATGGTTAGCAAACGGCGCCGCCCATGGACACCTGAAACACCAAGTCGTTACAAGTGCGTTACCGGCCTTTTGGGAATTTGAGGATTGTGGAGGATTCAGGGATTGTGCCTCTGGTAATCTCACTCACACGACGAAACATAACGCAAGCGTTGTTTCACGTCGGTTTTTTGTGAGGCCGTGGTATCACTCCGGTCGAGCCGGCCCATTCGTGCCGAAGCATGGCTCTCCCACACTTAATGTAATTTACACTTTTTGTAATTTATCGACCAATTTCTGTTAGCAATATCGATAGTAGACGATTATAGACTTTTAAAATAACAAATAACGATCAACTAGGTTATTCTGTAACTTTCAATTCGAAAGATCGGTATGGACATTTTCGCCGATCCGCCATGTCATTGGTTGAGTATGATCTCGACCAATCACGGGCGATCGAACTCACTTCTGAACTTCGAATTTGACAGTTACAAAATAGCCCAGCAGTTGCGGAAGTACATCAGACCTTAGGACAGGCAGCGGCAGACGACATGATGCGTCTCCAGATCCTCTCCATAGTGCCGTACTTCTTGGTTTCCATGGGCAGTTGCCTAGCAATATCTTCCGAAGTAAAAATAGGCTCCAAGTACATCCATTCTCTGTGGCATAGCAGAAGAAAATAATTTCGTAAGAAATAATTAGGGCACGTATCTACTAAACTTAGCAACTTACACGTGGTTTAGAATGGACTAAGAGTTCACACATTATCAATAGTGTGTTTTATATCAGATTTTTCGAATAACTTCAGTTATATAAATTAAATTATTCAATATACATACTTAACTTGTTTCAAATATTCTTAGTGTCAATGGTGCATTGCATACAAGACGCGATATACTGTGCCTATATAGTTGTAGTTTTTAATATTTTTTGTCTTCAAGATCCGAGTGAATAGGTTGCCTATGGTTAGACGTGGTCCATCGTACCGCATCATCGCTTACCACCAAGTGAGATAGTGGCCAAACGGCGGCCCATCAAATATAATCAAATATTATTCAATCAAACATTAAATATAAAATCAAATATTATAATCAAATATAATAAAAAAATAAGTCAAAATCAAAATCATTTATTTCAATTAGACCAGGAAGGCACTTTAAGACGTCAAAAAATATTGAAATATTAATAAAAACAAATATCAGTCTGTCGGTGAAGCTATTTGTTCGTTCTAAAGTGTAGATTCCTATGGAGAAGAGCGAGCAAGAAACTCCTTAGGATACTGTTTTCCATCAGGTCCACAATATAATATAATAATACAATATGGAGCCGACCAGTCCCAGTTGACAGCGCCTGTTCATGAACATGACACGTACCCCAGCACCGCCCAACTCAACCATACTGTAGGGAATCGAGCGATCCACTGCACGTGCCACCGCCAATGAGACTTTTGAGTGCGCATGACAACTTCAAGCTGACATAAATGGATTCAACTATTTCCATGATTTACCTCATCTTTGACTTAATTAATATTTTTGGATCCGTAATAATCGCCATAGTGCAGTAACTATCTTAGTTTAAAATATTGCTCACGAATTCAATAACAACCTACAGATTTCAAAATCTATTAGGATCTAATCACTTATTACACCCCATATTACATGGGACTCATAACATAAATAGTGAAAAGTGGGTGTTACATTCTACAGTGGCATTAAGTGCCGTAATGTGCATCTCTGCCTACCCCTTAAGAGTTAAAAAGGCGTGATGTTATGTTATGTTCTAATCACTTACTTCTGGCATTCTATCCACTCATCAACTACCCTTTGAGTCAATCGTAGTTTATCGTCCCATTCCTGGATTCGTAGTTCAAACGCCGCTTTGAAAGGACTGAAACCTAACTGTTGAGTACCTAGGAGATGTTCGTCAAGCAATTGCATAGTTTCATCTGCTATCTTCATGATATAAGTACCTATAACAAGAAGCAATGTTTTAGACTATTTTGTAATGGGCTGGAAGGTCACATGTTACTACGATCCAAAACTAGAATTAAGGTCATATGAGTACATGAGAGCAACTTTAAGGAATAACTTAACACTTCTTCAACTACCCGTCAGCTTCAGTATGCATCGTCATTTCATAATGCTCATTATGAAGCCTTCTGGCTTTGACCATTTCTTCGACTTCGCAAAGGCGCTAACACTACCCTCTTCAACTGAGCAACGGTCTGTTTTATAAATAACTGTATCCGCGACGTCGTTCACGTGGAAAAAGCTTAGTTACTCCCTAATCAACTACCTGGCAATAAATTTACCATCCAAATCGGTACAAGATTTTCAGACATTAGCTAGAACAAACAGTCAGATAGACAAAAATAGGAAAAATGTTATTTTGGTGTGTATTGCATCGAATGGATAAAAAACAGTTATTTCAATATTGCAAACAGACACTCGAATTTTATTTATAGATGGATACATGACCTAAGAATAAATATGGCAGAGAGGAAATACTAAACCACACTATAATTGGGATGATGACAGGGTATGAAAATTAAAAATATAATTAGTCCGTAAGTTAGGTAATGAAAAAATATTAGACACGTATTTTGTAAACAATACTTAGATAAAACGAATCAACGTTTAGGAGTGGGGGCTAAAACATCATTTCTACGTATAAAATATACATAGAAGTGACGTCACGCGACATTTCAAATCAATATATCGTCAAAAGTTAACGTTTCTGTAAGAAAATAAAAAATACGTGTCTAATGATTTAAAATAATCTGCCAGACAGACATTAAAATAAAAATTAGGCACCTACTCTATTGTTTTGACTTACCAGTATTCTTATACGCGCTGACTTCCAAAACCTTGTTGGCCCAATCTCCTTGCATTTTATCCAGGCATTGCTCAATAACGTACTCTTTGCTGGCGAGTTCCCCAATCTCCGCGATCAACTCTCCATGAGCGGCCACCCCTTGCTTTATGCACATTTGGAAGGTTTGTTTTTCGTTCATAGTCACCGTTATACCTAGAAACAATGAATGCAACGTTTATCAATCGACCCAACTAAACTATGTAACTAGAGAATTGTATTGTGAACCTGTTTGAAAAAGAGTAACCTATGGAGTTTCTTGCTCGTTCTTCTCCATAGGAATCTACACCTTGGAATGAGCAACTAAGCTAGTTATTCTAAATTTTTGTTGACATTTAAAAGTGCCTTCCTGGTCTTATTGAAATAAATGATTTTGACTTTGACTTTGATCTCATTGGTCGAGTTGTTGTGAACTTTAAATCACGTTTCTTTTAGCAACTTTACATAGTCCATAAAAATATGCAATAAGAATGATGACTAAAATACTGATACTGCTATCCTACTGATATTATTAATGCGAAAGTTTGTAAGTGTGTTTGTTTGTTTGTTTACTTGTTTTTTACCCCTTCACGTCAAAACAGTTGAAGGGGTAAAGATAAAATTTAGACCAGGTGTAAGTGTAAGTCTGGAATGAGACAAAGGCTTTTTTTAAGGGGGAAAATCATCGAATGACTTCTACCGCCTGGGTGAGGCGGGAGTGAGTGTCAGACTGTTACTGACTAAAAACCACCTCGTTCCTACTCCTGCACTTCGAGCCGAAGCCCCGGTAACCCGTTAGGTTCTCCGCGACATGAGACATAGGCTTCGGGCTACATTTTTATTCTACGGGAACACGGGCGAAACCGCTGGCAGTAGCTACTCGTCTATAATGTAATTTGTAACTTTATTGACATTTCAAAAGAAATTGTTAACGCTACTCTACTCCTTTATTTAGACACTAATACCTCTACCAGTGACTTAGCCCGCGTAATCGAGATATGAAAGTACCCGTGTAATTTTATCGTTCACTACGTTTTTGTGTGTAAGAGCAACAAACAGACACATACAAATGCATCCATGTATCCTTACAAACTTTCACATTGATATACAATAAATGTTATATCATTACATTTAATACAAATAGGAAGTAGGCTGTAAAAATACAATTAAAAATCTTTTTCATCCTGGTTTGGTCGAACAAGCAATTTGAAACAGACATAAAATCGAAAAGGAACTAAAGTTTCTTAAGTACTTAATAGCAAAATTTTTACCAGCTTTCTCCATAAACTCGTTCCAATGCCTATCCTTCATTCCAGGGTTTCTGACGGCTTGTATAATGGGTATCAGCGGCCTAAAGGCATCTATGTACTCCTGCAATAGAATTAAAAACGTAAATAAACGAACATATAGAGGTCGCAGGAAGTCGCTGAATACAGAGGCCTTAGTACGAATTTTGTTTTACGTTTAACTCGTCGAGTACCGTATTTATAGACACAATTAAAGAACAATAGGTTGCGGTCACCGGAGACCGCTTGGTGTTTGACAGTTTAAAATAATCGTAGCGAGACGGCGTTCTGTGCTCTGATTGGTTGGTTCATAAGAGCCGGCCAATTACAGCGCCAAACGCGTACTTATTACGATTACTTTAAACGAAAAAGAAACTCGTACTAACGCCTCTGATTGGTTAGTTCATTGGCGCCGGCCAATCAGGGGGCCAAGCACGAATAACTATCGCATTCGTATCGTAACAGTATCGAGCGAGTTAAGCGTTGTGATTGGTTGGTTCACTTGAGCCGGCCAATCAGTGCGCCGAACGCGTACTCGTTTCGAATACTTTAAACGTAAATCAAACTCGTACTAAGGCCTCAGATCACTTCCAACCGGCCTATCAACATAAATGCCCACTGCTGAGCAAAGCCTCTTCTCACACAGAGGTTTGAGCATTAACCACCACGCTTGCTCAATGCAAAATTATAAGCCCAGGTTTTGAGGAAATGTTTTCCTTCACCGTTTGTAAGTGGTGTCTAAATAATCTTAGATAGTACATATAACTCGGAAAAAGGCAGATTGGTACTTGCTGTTTGTAGGTTTCGAACCCACACCCTCATGCATGAGAATCAGGCGTCTTAAACCCCCGAGCCACCACGACATGTTTGACGACATGTTGATAATATTTTTAATTTGACTGCATGGTTAGCGCGGTGGCTGGGCAACTGGCTGCCGCGCAACTTGTCGCGGGCTCGATTCCCGCACGGAACGGCTCTTTGTATGATCCACAGATTGTTGTTCCGGGTCTGAGTGTCATATATATGTGATATAGTATATTTGTAAACACACCCACGATACAGGAGAAAATCCTAGTGTGAGGCAACGTTTTTAAAAAAAGAAAAACATATATAAATGCCCACTGCTGAGCAAAGCCTAATATAATTCGACTTCGTCCACCTAGAATATGAATTTTAGAACATGTATTTTTTGCTTAAATTTTCCAACATAAAAGTAGCCTATGTCACTCCTTGGTATGACAGTTACCTGCCAAGTGAGTCCAGCTATTCCAGAGATTAGCCAGTACAAACAGACAAATAAACACAAATTATAATGTTATTTTAGCGTGTATGTATAATTGTATATGTATATTTACATGCGTGTAGTAAAATGCTGTTATTTTAATATTCAAACAGACATTCCAATTTTATTTATATATACAAGGTGTAGTTTTGAAACCATGACATTTCTCAGTGGCATGTCACAGAAGTCGTAAAGGTTCAATGTAAGAGAAAATTTAGGGCCAATAGTAAAAAATACGGCTATAATAAATCGTTTAAGTTCGACAATGTTTCAGAATAAGCGACAGCAATGTTTCTTATTGGAGTTTTATGGAATTAGGAATAATATCAATTACGTGTTTGAGTTTGTGTGTGTTAAGCCACGTTACAAAGCTAGTTACAAGACTGCGGCGTGTAGTTCGCACTTACGAATTTCCGTAATTTACAGAAAAATGAAACTTATTTACATAGCCGAGTTACCTCCTAGAAAATGACGCGACTTTAAAACAACACCTTATATAGATACTTTTACATTCATTATTTGGATTGTCATAATATTTTCAGATATCAAAATTTAAATAATAACTTACTAATTATTAAAATTATGACGATTTAGTTAGTGTGATATATAAAAATTTGCGTACCCTTATAGTGACGGCGACTTGCTGCACTTTGGGCATATCCTGGAATACTCTCACACACTTGACGATTGTCTTGTAGTATTCGTTAACCAACGGCTCTATGGTGTCCGCGTCTACGTACATTAACGGGTTGTCCAACCATACTTCGCGAGCTTTCAAGAAATCTACAAAACATATCAATAGGATATTAAGATGGATGGAGATGGACTTCCTCGTTGGCCGAGTGGTCGCAAGTGCGACCTGAGTGTCAAGCACGAATAACTATCGCATTCGTAACGTAATAGTATCGAGCGCGTTCGGCGCTCTGATTGGCCGACTCAAGTGAACCAACCAATCAGAACGCTTAACTCGCTCGATACTGTTACGATACGAATGCGATAGTTATTCGTGCTTGGCCCTCTGCGGTCGGGCAAAGTATTACTGGGTGTTAAAATTTTCAGTAGTAGTCTGACAATGTGCCCGGTATATGGCAATAGGCTCACCCCCTATTACATGGGACTCATAACATAAATAGTGAAAACTGTTACATTCTATAGTAGCATTAAGTGCCGTAATGTGCACCTCTACCTACCCCTTTGGGGATAAAATGTGTGATGTTATGTTATGGATGGAAAATTTTCCCTGTCTCCTTCCATACGATCTTGGGTCTTAAAGAAAACTATGAAGCTTGAGGCATATATCCTATACCACAGACTTACAACCAGAGAAAAGTTAAAGTTATAATTATACGACCTTCAGGGTATTACGGAATAGCCAAAAATACGAGTAAGTACCTGATGCAGTAACCCAAAGATTCCTATAAGGTTCAAACTCCTTCACAAGTTTGTTGAGATCCGCAAATGGTACTACAGGTTGACCGAAGAGTTTCTGCCTCTGATTGAGAATGCGACCCCAGTCCTGAGCATCCTTCATCGCCTTCCAAGCCTTCTTTATGTCATTTGCTATCTCATGCACCTGGGGAAAGACACAAATAGAACTTGAACAATTGAATGTCTCGATTATTTCTTTATCGACAATCGAACTAAACATTTTTTTTTAATAAACAACCTCGTTGGCTCAGTTGTTGCAAGTGCGACTGCCGGGCAAGGAGTCTGGGGCTCGATTCCCGGGTCGGGCAAAGTATTACTCGGTTTTTAAAAAATCTCAGTAGTAGCAAGGAGTCTAGAAATGTGCCCGGTATATGGCAATAGACTCACCCCCTATTACATGAGACTCATAACATAAATAGTGAAAAGTGGGTGTTACATTGTACGTACAGTGGCATTCAGTGCCGAAATGTGCACCTCTGCCTACCCCTTCGGGGATAAAAAGGCATGGTGTTATGTTATGTATATTTTTTTAAATAAACAGGCACTATTCGATTTATAAAGCATATGAAAAGTTTGATAGCAAGCAGTAAGCGTTGTCCGTGGTCACTCGCAAGATTAGAGAAATTGAATGCGTTACCGGCCATTTATACTGACTTACCTTAGAGAAGTCGTTTTGTAGAGTAAGTGTCATACACTGAGCGGTGAACATGTCGATCTTATCATATAGAGTTTGTTCATCTTGTTGGTGGAGCTTCCAGAACTTCTCCTGTTCTTCCTCTAGGAAGAGAATCGTCTCGTCCACCTTTGGCATAGAAAATAATAATGATATGATAGAAGAGTAAGTATAACCAGATTACTTTGTCCGTCTATTAAATCCTTACTAATATTATAAATCGGAAAGTGAGTTTGTTTGTTTGTTTGTTTGTTTGTTCCGCCTTCACGCCGTAACTACTAAACCGATTGCTTTGAATTTTTGCAGACGTAAAGTTAGAAGTCCGGATTAAATAATAGGGTACTTTTTATCCCGGAAAAATTTGATATTCCCGAGGGAAAACAAAAGTATTGGTATAGATGGCGCTGTATGTATTGGTATATGTCACATAGGCTACTTTTTATCCTTTTGTGACGCGAGCGAAGCCGCGGGTAAAAGCTAGTTAACAATAAAATACTAAAGATTTGCTTAAAACAATTAGGCCCGATAAATTTTAACTGATGTGAGCACCATGTCAGACTTAAGATATTTGTTTACTCTTGGTTTTGTTTTTTATTTTAGTAGGTTCTGTTATTTGTATGATGCGTCAGGTATGTCTTTACATTATTCTCACATGTGTGTACAATATTGGAATATGTATCAGAGCAGTGTAAAACAGACTTTTTTTTAAAAGAGTAACGAATGAGTTTTTTGCTCGTTCTTCTCCACTCGAATCGACATTTTGGAACGAGCGCCTAGCTTCACTGACGGACTGACTGACAGACTATTATTTATTTTGTATTTGTTGACGTTTCAAAAGTACCAAATTATGGTTTAATTGAAATAAATGCTTTTGAGTTTGAGTTTTATGTTTGACAATTCTTCCATATCTGCCAAAAACTGTTAAATGTCAATTTTATACTACAGGTAAGTTTTAATCGATATCTGAAAAATCGGTCCTAAGGAAGTAACGACTTTCCATTTCTACGCGAAAAAATTCTCTGTGTAATTCATAAATTGTAGTTCTGGGAGTATACCAAGATACAGGAGACAATCCCACTTGTGTAGGTTCACGTTTTTAAAAAGAAACATGAAGGTGTTCCTGACTGGCATTAAACTTATTAAATTGAAAATAGAGCTTTTGGCGCATCTCGCTTGATGGTAAGCCATGATGTGGTCAAGGGTGAAACATGTCAGCTCATAAGTAACTTATGCCGGAATACTGAAACGTTACTCAATTTTAAGTCGTGCTCAAATAGGGTGCCATCTCTGTCATTTTACAAAGAATTTGTGGAGACAGAACTATACTTAAGCACGACTTAAAATTGAGTAGCGTTTCAGTATTCCGACATTATTCACTCAGGCCCTAAATTATCCCCAGGGCCTTAGACTGCTATTAAAAAAAGAAAACAAATTTCGACAAGTTTCCTTTGTTTGATTTTGACAAATCTGCAATTAAGAAATCTATGTTATATAATTTTGCAACTATGTAATAATAAATCAGACTAAAGCTCCAGGTACATATTCACAGAATAAGGCAAAATAAAAAAAATGGTATAACTCTTAAAAAAAAACGAAAGAGGGATAAAATAGCGGCAATATAATGTTTCCTAGTAGACTGTTGTTGATTGTCGAGGAGAACCTAACGGGTTACCGGGGCTGCGGCTTAAAGCGCAGGAGAAGGAACGGGGTGGTTCTTAGTCAGTAAGAGTCTGACACTCCCTCCCGCCTCACCTAAGCGGGAGCAGGAATTCGATGATTTTCCCAGCTTAAAAAAAAAGACTTGTTGATTACCTGTTTAGTTATTTGCAGTGGCCACCCGACAGCTTCCCAAAGAGCCCTGAAGTCTTCGTTTTCTAGAGGCATGAAGAAATGTTCTAGTACTTCATAATCCTGACACAAAAACAACAAATAAAACTAGATACATTTATATCATTAAAGGTACACACCATCTTTGGTCTGACAAATGTAAAGAGAAATTACATAAGGATGCTGTCAACCAGGGGTATTAGGGAGCTCCGTAACCGTAAACGAAACTATCGGATATCCGATATAAAAAAAGATCCGTAACCGTAACCGACTCCGAAATCAAAGTTTCGGATACTATCTGATACGTCACGCCCCACGTATAAATGAAACCATTATATGGTGACTGCACGTTTGGTGAGGTGGCTGGGCAACCGGCTGCCGTGCAACGTGTCGCGGGTTCGATTCCCGCACGGAACAATACTTTGTGTGATCCACAAATTGTTGTTCCGGGTCTGGGTGTCATTGTGTATGTGAACTTGTATGTTTGTAAACGCACCCGCGACACAGGAGAAAATCCTAATGTGGGGCAATGTTTTTTTTTTTTAAAAAGATAAAAAAAAGATATTAGCTATTTGTATTTTACTTTTGATACTCCTTAAAATTTTAATATCCGTAACCGAAATTATTGGAAAACTAACGGTTAATCCGAAATAATTTCATATCCGTATCCGTTACCGTATCCAGTATAACAATCATTTCTATATCCGTATCCAATCCGTATCCGAAATTTAATATCCATAACATCCCTGCTGTCCTGTCAACCTATCCATATTTATGTACTTTTTTTTATCAATGTCTTTTTAATTTGTGGTTAAGTATTAACTTGATTTACCTAATGACTATGTAAGTACTAACCTATTTTACATGAAACTATTGTCAACTACCATCCACTATTTATATTTGTCCATACGACCTCATTTAACTTAAATAATGTATCTGTGACATTGTAAAAAAAAAAATTTTTTTTTCATCAAGTAACAATAGTTTCTTGCTTGTTCTTCTCCATTCGAAACTACACTATGGAACGAGCACCTAGCTTCGCTGACAGACAGACAGACAGACAGACTTAATTTGACGTTTCAAAATTGCGTAAATAAGGATTAATAGAAATTAATTCTTTGACTTTGACTTAGCCATTAACATCGTAATATAACAGCTGTGGAATGATTTGAACCGATACGACCTTCATACCTTCAAGAAAAGAGCGTATTTTTAAAAAGGTGTCCATGGGCGGCGCTGATCGCTTACCATCAAGTGATCCGTCTGATCGTTTGCCTATTATTTCACAAAAAAAAATTAAAGAACGTAAAATCTTACCGAGTGAACCTTCCTCATGATGTCGTCCTGAGTCTTTAAAGCAAACGGTATAGACTCCATCCATTCTCTAATCTCAAACACATGTTCAATAGTGTTCGGTTTCTCTCCCAACTTGCGCATGATGGTCTTGTACGCAGTGATGACGTCATCGACCACCAGTCGCACCTCCTCAGCCCACATAACTAGCAACGCCCTTATTATATCCGACCGTTTGGTAACCAACAGTTGCTAAAATATAATAAGTCCTCTTTAGAGACCAAATATTAGTAATTTGTAAAAGTGTGGCTAAAGTGATAGTGTCTGTCCTCGTGGTGGTCCGGGTTTAAGATGCTCGCTTCTCAAGGGTGCAGGTTAGAAACCTATCAACGGTATCAATGTGACCTTTTCCGAGTTATATGTGCTTTCTAAGATTATTGAGATATACCACTGACAAACGGTGAAGGACAATGTGAGGAAACCTGGGCTTATAATTTCTAATTATAAGTTTCAAATTGCCGAAACACATTGAGAAAGTGCGGTGATGCAATAATGCTCACACCTTCTCCGTGTGAGAAGAGGCCTAAATATTTCTTTAAGTCAGCAGTGGTCACTTATAAGCTGTTGATGCGATTATGCGATACGTAGAGTTACGCTTATTTTTTCTTCACAAAGGTATGTATTTGCTTAACTTTTACATACCTTCAAAGTGTCGACGTTAAGAGCAAACGGCCCGATATTTATGAACTGAGGTAGTCTCCATATAAGGTCTTGTTTCGCATCATAATGTATTTGGACTTCATCTTTTGTCTCAGGTGCGGAATGTTTCTCAGCACGAAAGTTTCTATAATGATAATATTCCTTATTCTTATTAACATATTGAATAACTCCAACTCCTGGGCCTAACAGCTCTAATGGCTGATTTCACCAACCATCTCTTAACTAAGTGTAACTGTGTGAGAGAACAACTAAACTAAACAATAACCTTTAACTATAGTGGAAACTTAGAGCTATATTTTATAGGGACACCATGGCGGCGCCACCAACAGAATGTGTACAGTTCTACAGAGGTAACCTGGTGTCCACTTGGTTGCGCAACCGGCTTATACATTTTGTTGGCAGCGGCAACTGGTTGCACCGCCATGGTGTCCCGGTGAAAAATAGCCCTTAATATAGGTTGTTTAAACTAAAATGTCGTTAACTCTCACCAAGCTTGCTGATAAATGTGGGAGAGCCATGCTTCGGCACGAATGGGCCGGCTCGACTGGAGTGATACCACGGCCTCACAGAAAACCGACGTGAAGCAACGCTTGCGTTGTGTTTCGTCGTGTGAGGAGGAGGCCCAATTACCCTCCCCTTCCCCAATCTCCCCAATTTCTGAATAACCAACGATCCTCAAACTCCTAATCCCCAAAAGGCCGGCAACGCACTTGTAACGCCTCTGGTGTTCCAGGTGTCCATGGGCGACGCTGATTGCTTACCATCAGGTGACCCGTCTGCTCGTTTACCGGATTATGCCATAAAAAAATGCATTTAAAAGACAAGTCATAGATACTTAAAAGGTAAGAGCTAATATCTTAAACATGGTTGAGTCTCCCATTTCTATGTCAAAACTTTACTACTACTACTACTACTACTTACTCCACATACTCTTCAATATTCAACATGTATATTTCTCTATAACACGCATACTGTCTCATGTACGCTTTGAGGGGAATAATGGATTTCCTGTACGCCTTCAGCAATCTTTCTCGAGTCTCCACCACGTTTGGCTCCATCAAACCTGACAATACTCAAGAAGCTGATGAATAAAGTACCTTATGTACACTTTTACCATTTTTTAACTGAAACTTGTTAACACGTTAACCGCCACGTAGGTCACCGGTGACCTACGTTAGCGGAGGATTTGCCTTCAACAGTTTTCTGTCGGCAGTCAAAGGCTTAAATAATAATGTGTAATCTCTTAAGCTTTGGTACACTTGGGCGCAAAAAAACTGAACCACTAGATTTTTTTTTCACTTTATCGAAACCTCTGTAACTTAACACATTGGTTGCCGTGTCGGACAATGATGTCCGACGCTAGCGGAGGATTAACCTAACCTACAGTTTTTACTGACATTTAAAGTCTTCAAAAAATTTTCCTTTTATAACAAAATGCTCTCATTTTAAAGGTAACTAAATTGCCTTTTGTCATGTCGTGGTGGCTCGAAGGTTAAGACCCACCACTTCTCATGCATGAGGGTTCGAAACCTACCAACGGCAAGTACCAATGTGACTTTTTCCGAGTTATATGTACTTTCTAAGATTATTCAGACACCATTGACAAACGGTGAAGGAAAACATCGTGAGGAAACTTGGGCTTATAATTCCTAATTATAATTGCCAACCCGCATTGAGCAAGCGTGGTGATCAATGCTCAAACCTTATCCGTTTGAGAAGAGGCTTTGCTCACCAGTGGGCATTTATAGGCTGTTGATGTGAAATTGTTTTGCATAGGACATACGTTACCAATGAATAAAGTACTTGTATCAGAAAATATTCATCAAGAAATAAAAAGGAGAGTGGCTCCATTTCTTTAGTCCCAAGTTTTTACGTCATCTTCGCACCACTTACCAATAGACGTGAGGAACAGCTCCTTATCGAAGACCAGACCGGTCATGATCATAGGATGCACTTGTGCAATGAAATGGCAGCGGTACAACATGTCTCGGAACAGTCTTTGAATAACAATCTGTGAAGGATTGTACTGATAAATAACAAATATAATTAACTAGTTACTTTCGCGTGGCTTCAACTGCTACTCCTACAGACCGTTGCGTGATGTTTTATAGTCTATAGCCTTCCTGGATACATGGACTACCCAACACAAAAACAAACAAACTGTTAGAATAGTTACATATAATTTGCCATATAAGAAGTTACTTAAAATAGGTAATTCATTTTATGAATGTTCAGCTAGTAGTCATATCATTCAATAGGGATGATGACAGGGTATGAAAATAAAAAATCTGGATTAGTCCGTAAGTTAGGTAATGAAAAAATATTAGACACGTATTTTTTTTTTGTCGTATAATAAAACAATACTTAGATAAAACTAATCAAAGTTTGGGAGTGGGGGCTAAAACGTCATTTCTACGTATAAAATGTACATAGAAGTGACGTCCCGCGACATTTCAAATCAATATATCGTTGAAAGTGTTCGTTTCTGTAAGAAAATAAAAATACGTGCCTAATGATTTAAAATAATCTACCAGACGGACATTAAAATAAAAATTAGGCATCTACTCTATTGAAGAAGATAATTTTAAAGTAAATGAGGTTTTAATTAATTAATTAATTATAGATTCTCAAATAATAATGCTAATCTATATTAGCATTAGTTAAAACGTGTAAACATTCTATAAACGATTGTCTTTTGGTATTTCACGGTTAATGCTATTTAAAATAAGTACATAAATATCTTACCTCAAATTGAGCTGGATCCGTGGTATAATAAGGTCCGTCTACAGACATCATGAGATGGAAGTAGAAGAGGGTGGTGGTGGGAGAGCGGAAGGGGGAATTGATGAGGTCTTTAGAGTCCCATTCGTAGTCATCTTCACAGATATAGGTGCAGAGGCATGGAGTCTCCAACATATTCAGATACATAGCCATCGACTGTTCTATGCAGTAGCGAAGAGCATACTGACAAAAACAAAGATTTGTTATGGTACTTTTCAACTATTATCTTCAACAGTCTTGTGTGAGTTCAGACTAGACTATAGGTCTGTTCTACAAAAGAGGAGTTTTCCAAACGTAATATCTACGTTTAGCAAGAGTTTTTTAATTTAGATCTTTATCATATACCATCATCAACAGCCTATAAGTGCCCACTCCGAGCAAAGCCTCTTCTCACACGGAGAAGGTTTGAGCATTAATCACCAAACCACACGCTTGCTCAGTGCAGGTTGGCGATTTCAAACTTGTAATTAGAAATTATAAGCCTAGGTTTCCTTACGATTTTTTCTTCCACCGTTTGCCAGTGGTGTCTAAATAATCTTAGAAAGTACATATAATTTGGAAAAAGTCACATTGGTACTTGCCGTTGGTAAGTTTCTAACCCACACCCTCATGCATGAAAAGCTCTTACATCTCCGGGCCGCGACGGCATTTCAAATATTTTTTTAGGTCTTTATTACGGTAAAACAATTGTAGAACCATCGAGTAATGGTTAAATTGCAGTCTTACGAGTAAGAAAGAATAAAATTGTCATGATTCATATGCAAACTTACCTGCATTCTAAACCTAACAAGTTGCATGAATCTGCACAGCTTACTGACTCCATAGAACTCCCATTTCTTTTCGTATATGTTGAACCATCTGTTCAAAAGATACTATGTTCATTTCATGGTCGGAATACACTAAATTCGTTATCTATTTTAGTACCTACAGCGATCAACGTACTAATGAACTCTCCATACTGTAACACATGCTCTAAAATAGCATGCAAAAAGGCGTTCTATTGAGAATGCTTAAACATTTTCGAACGGCTATCGATGCTCAAACACGCTTTGAAATAAGCTTGTTAATTTTGAGCAACATTCCGAGTGACAAGTGCTCAATCGAAGCATGCTTTCATGAACAATGACGCATGCTGCACCTTCAATTTAGATCTAAATGAGACTACGAAAGTTCACGACATGACTGTAAAATAATGATTTTACGAATTATACCCAAGTTAACGGGGTTTTTTTAAGGGGGGAAAACCATCGGATGACTACTCCCGCCTGGGTGAGGTAGGAGGGAGTGTCAGACTCTTACTGACTAAAAACCACCCTGGTCCTCCTCCTGCGCTTCGAGCCGGAGCCCCGGTAACCCGTTAGGTTCTCCACGACGAGTTAACGGGGTTACGAAGGAAAATACTTACTTCAGATCAATTGAACAAAGAATGCATGATATGAGAAAAAACAGGCCTCAAGTTACAAGTTACTTAGATAGGAAAATGTGCAAAACAGGAATTTGGTTATAATGACATTACCCTTTTCCGACATCTCGGAACGACATCCTTATAGCATGTGCGGTCTGATTCAGCCAGGATATATTGAGATATTTTAACATCTGTAAACATTGAAGATGTTTTTACAATAACTATCGTGGGACATATTAAATTAAGTAAAAAATCGCAGGTTACTAAAGTGAATATACCGAGAAAAGCTCTACTAGTTTCAAACCACTAAGGACTCTTCCTTATGCCTTGTTCTCACTATGCTAGTATTTTAGTCAAGTAGCGAGTATTTAGTAACTCTCTCTTGCTTCGATTTTGGGACAGAAAATCATCGAATGACTTCTCCCGCCTAGGTGAGGCGAGAGGGAGTGTCAGACTCTTACTGACTAAAAACCACCCCGTTCATACTCCTGCACTTCGAGCCGGAGCCCCGGTAACCCGTTAAGTTCTGCACGGCTACGTATTGGTATCAGCCCTATTGGGCCTTATTCGTGGTGGTCTGATGGCGATTTGAGCATGCACGCTCGGGTCAGTTCTGGTCGGGCGACGAGCTACCCTGGCTGAGCTGGATATTCACGTGAGTAATCCGCGATTTATAGTCAACAATGAAGTCACGTTATTTTTACGCTTCACGGTTCGGATAAAACTATTACACCCCAAACCTCCCCAATCCCTGAAGCCCCAACAATCCTCAAACTCCTAATCCCCAAAAGGCCGGTAGCGCACTTGTAACGCCCCTGGTGTTCCAGGTGTCCATGGGCGGCGCCGATTGCTTACCATCAGGTGATCCGCCTGCTCGTTAACCGGCTTATCCTACAAAAAAAAAGTGCAAGCATACAGTGTTCGGTGAAACATTTACAAAGTTACCATTGAGGTGCAGTGTTGTTGTGCCGCGTCAAATTCTGCTAAACTAGCGTTTCTGCCATAGTTAGCTGTGAAGAACAACATTGATTCAACCTGCAATCAAATGTATTTTTTTACATATTGTACTTACCCAGTATCCTACTAATATAATAAATGCGAAATTTTTAATAAAATGTTCTCCTAAGTGTTACAAACGCTTACCTGAAAACGCAGGGCCGGATTTAGGGGGGGGCAACCGGGGCGAAAGCCCCGGGGCCTCCACAAGCAGGGGGCCTCCACAATAGAGACTTCGGAAAAAAAAATCTTTCAAATTTCAACTAGTAAACCTAGTAAACATCTTTTCTTTGATATTTTTTTTTAGCTTTTACCTTTACCTACCGCCTAAAGTACTTTATACATACATGATTATTTGATTATATTAATTTAGAAACAGAAATCATTGATCTATATTTGTTCACTCCAATCAGGCAATCAGTGAAATATCAAAATCTCAAATGGCTCTGATAAGCACTTCCAATTTACTACCCATCTTGAGGGAGTACCCCAATGGCTCAATGGCTCAGTGGGATGGTACTTGCCCGCCACCTCGGAGGTTGGCTATTCGATTCCGTGTCTCGACCATTAAAAAAATTATTGGTATTCTTCAATTCTTAAACTCGAAATCTGTCGTGCGTCCTCGAAATCTATAGAGCATCCTCGATCGTTTTCGAGCGTCCTCGATTGTTTTCCAGCGTCCTCGAAATTCATCGAGAGTCCTCGATCGTTTTCGAGCGTCCTCGAAATCTATCGAGAGTTCTCGATCGTTTTCGAGCGTCCTCGATTGTTTTCGAGCGTCCTCGAAATCTATCGAGCGTCCTCGAAATCAATCGAGCGTTCTCGATTGTTTTCGAGCGTCCTCAAAATCTATCGAGTGTTCTCGATCGTTTTCGAGCGTCCTCGATCGTTTTCGAGCGTCCTCGATCGTTTTCGAGCGTCCTCGATCGTTTTCGAGCGTCCTCGATTGTTTTTGAGCATCCTCGATTGTTTTCGAGCGTCCTCGAAATCTATCGAGAGTCCTCGATCGTTTTCGAGCGACCTCGAAATTTATCGGGCGTCCTCGAAATCTATCGAGAGTTCTCGATCGTTTTCAAACGTCTGCGATCGTTTTCGAGCATCCTCGTTCGTTTTCGAGCGTCCTCGAAATCTATCGAGAGTCCTCGATCGTTTTCGAGCGTCCTCGAAATCTATCGGGTGTCCTCGAAATCTATCGAGCGTCCTCAAAATCAGTCGAGAGTCCTCGATCGTTTTCGAGCGTCCTCGAAATCTATCGAGAGTTCTCGATCGTTTTCGAGCATCTTCGATCGTTTTCGAGCATCCTCGATTGTTATCGAGCGTCCTCGAAATCTATCGAGAGTCCTCGATCGTTTTCGAGCGTTTTCGATCGTTTTCGAGCATCCTCGATCGTTTTCGAGCGTCCTCGAAATCTATCGAGAGTCCTCGATCGTTTTCTAGCGTCCTCGAAATCTATCGGGTGTCCTCGAAATCTATCGAGCGTCCTCCATTGTTTTCGAGCGTTCTCGAAATCTATCGAGAGTCCTCGATCGTTTTCGAGCGTCCTCGAAATCAAGCGAGCGTCCTCGATCTCAATCTGGAAAATAATTTGGGGCAAGGGGGCCTCCACTCCTTTGTTGCCCCGAGGCCTCTGGACCCCTAAATCCGGCCCTGTGAAAACGCGTCAAAATCGGTGCAGCCAATCACGAGATAATCGCGGACAAACATGCAGGTCAACCTGAGAACCTACCTTTTCTTTTTGAAGTTTAATAATTACTAGTTTATTATACTATATATGTAGGTATAACATACATAACATCCAACTTTTCAATAAATATTATATTTGACTAGATTTACAGGTATTATAAGTCCTCCTACCTTTAGACACTCATCGACGACCAGATGTATGCAAGACACTGACTCCGTTAGAACATACAACGAATACCACTGGTTATATTTCAGTCGACCAGAGAAATCTTCCATCACACATGGAAGCCTCCCTGAAATGATGTGCTATGCTATACACTGACTCACTGGGCATTCAGCGGCACAGTTCCGAGTCACTAGAACTAGGGACATTCTAAACTGATTCTGGCACCGCTCATCTCAAGCATCGACAGCCGTCTCAACAGGATCGACCTCCGGTCTTGGGAACGGATGACGTCACCAAACCCTACATCACACATGTGAAGTTTACATGCAAATTAACACTGCTAGAAAAATCCTAACGAACTACTGTTGGACAGAGAGCCCGCCATGTACGATCACCTCGCCTTGTAGGAGGATCCTTCTTTTCCGATCTTAGGGAACTATACTCTCTGTTGTAAAATGTCGCTTACATTCAATTGACCAAAACCTTACTAAAGTAGGTATTAAAAAGTTTACCATATAATGGCACGGGAGCCACATAGTCTGGTGTCGGTACATCTATGAAATTGTACAAATCTCTGTATTTCTGTATAGTATAGATTATCTTCATCTTTCCTTCCATCTTTGTGTAGAGAAGTTCCACCTGAAATATTGTCTTGCTGATGAAGGAAGACATCCTAATGTTTTGGACATTTTAATGGGTTGGATATGACCTCGTGCTTAAAAAACTTCAAGTGAGCAAGTGATGGACCATGGGATGACAAATGGGCCATCTCGAGCGGAGTGATACCACGGCCCCACAGAAAAATGACGTGTAACCCAGCTAATTCATGATAAATACCTATAAATGAACAATCCATCTTACCTCATGTTTGAGATAATTCATATGTTCTTCGTCTACTTCCTTCACCTGCCGATGAATGATTACCATTTTTATTATTTTCGGCATATGTTGCCGCGGTATGTTAGGCAGTCCTTCGAGTAATAAGCAGTCAAGGTACAAGTAGAATCTACGAAAGGAATTTTTTTATGTAATATTTAAATACGCTCCTAACTATCAACTCTAGTAATATCAAATTTAAAAAGTACATGTTCTTCGTGCTTGTCTCTATTTAATAGTGTAATATTATTAAAGGCTTACCTAAGATTATTCTCAACCTCCTTTCTAAGATCAACAGCAAATTTGATGCGTTGTGCAAACGTCTCTGGATCGTCCGCTTTGAACATGAGGCGTACACGAGGAATCCTAGTAAATAAATTATATAGACACATCATCATTATCATCATTGTCGGATGAGTGCCCGTCTGTCCCCAAAAGTCTGTGCGTGTGCGTGTGTATGTGTCGCCGTAAAATAGATAAAGCCGTAATATAGTTACATCCCTAGGGATTTTTTTTTTTAAGGGGGGAAAATCATCGAATGACTGCTCCCGCCTGGGTGAGGCGCAAGGGAGTGTCAGACTCTTACTGACTAAAAACCACCCCGTTCCTTCTCCTGCACGTCGAGCCGGAGCCCCGGTTACCCGTTAGGTTCTCCGCGACACATCCCTAGGGATATGACTTATACGTATAACAAAGTTATATGAAAGCGATTCATTACTATCTCACTAGGAATATAATATGGCTACACGGTTGGTGCGGTAACAGGGTAACTGGCTGCCGAGCAACGTGTTGCGGGTTCGATTCCCGCACGGAGCAACACTTTGTGTGATCCACAAATTGTTGTTCCTGGTCTGGGTGTCATGTGTATGTGAACTTGTATGTTTGTAAAAGCACCCACGGCACAGGAGAATTTCTTAGTGTGGGACAAAATTCTTATTAAAAAAAAAATATATATAAAACAGTCCAAGTTCAGTGATATACTTATTAAGTTTAGTGAAATAGCTTTCAGAGTGTGTGGTGGCTCGCCGCTACTAAAATATGTGCCTGTAAGAATCTTTCAGTGCTATTTGCTATTTTTCATAAATCATCTTCTTATCTAAACAAAAATTAAAAAATACATTTGAAGAAACGAAGATCTCAACTTAGTTAATAAGAAATAATAGGTCTTTAACTATGAAATAGCCGTTTAGTCTAAAAAAATTAAAGTGTTTTTCATGTATGTTTTACTTGTATTAATTGAAGTATTCACCCATGCAATGAATGCATCTTTGCCAACGCAATGGCAATTTATTCTTATACCCTTCTTTATTAAAGAAATCAGCAGGAAGGGAGGCAACAAATTCTTCAAAGGCAATTTGCAACTGCCTCTCGGGTCCTAAATTTTTATCCCGCCAACAAGTTATCCAAATTCTGGAAAAAGTAGTCTGTAGGTGTTCTATAACTTTATAAGGCTTCATCTATCTTACTGGGACATATATGTAATTAGTCCAGTAGTATATCAGGAATAGTATTAAAATACCAGCAAATCAACCTAGGTACTCCAATCTGCAAAATTTATTCATTGGATTTTCAACTTTATGTCAATGCAATAAAGTTGAAGATGTAAAGAGAAATGTGACAGAATAGGTTGAGCTGTTGGCCACCATATCCTAACAGTAATGTATTACGGAATTACTTACACATAATGCCTCTTGGTACCATCTAGTGCCATTACTTCCCATTTGTCCGTATTTTCAACATATTTTATAGCAGCAACATTTGTCCACTACAAAATGTACAATGAGATTAGTTCATTAATCATCATCATCACCATTTCAGCCACAAAACTGTTTACAGTTGAACATAGGCCTCCCCAAAAGATTTCCAGATAGGCCGGTTGGAAGTGTCCTACTTTTATACATACATAACTTCATGCCTGTCTCCCGTCCCACTTTCAGTTCATTAGTAACACTTATTAATACATAATACTTTTCGGAGTCACGGAGAACCTAACAGGTAACCGGGGCACCGGCTCGACGTGCACGAGAAGGAACGGGGTGCTTTTTAGTCAGTAAGAGTCTGACACTCCCTTCCGCCTCACCCAGGCGGGAGCAGTCATTCGATGATTTTCACCCCCTTAAAAAAAATCCATAATACTTAACATAATAACACCTAAAGTTCCGTCCTAATTCCGTGAAAGAGTAGACACAGTGTACTATAAATACAAACACTGTTTCCCAGGTTGTTTACTAAGTATTTTATAAAATGGACTGGATTTTCGAAATAGAAAGTCCAAGATCGCGGCGTGTTTTATAGCAGCTGCTTCCTTGATAAATACACTATCCAACACAAAAATAATTATTCAAATCAGACCTGTAGTTCCGGAGATAAGCGCGTTTAAACAAACAAATTCTTCAGCTCTATAAAATAGTAAGTAAGTATAACATTAGCTAAGCAATACTAACCTCATACAAAGTATTTAGTGTCTGCATCAAGTCAGCACTATTTTTGGCCGATTTCGTATCAGCTTTGGGAATAAAAGCTAAACCTGGACAGGGATACTGTTCCCCTTCAATCATACCCAAAGACATCCATTCCTCCGGAATACTGGAAAACAACCATCATTTACATCATCATCAGCCAGTAAGTGGTTACTGCTGAGTAAAGTCATCTCACACACACGAACACGAAGAACGTATAAGCGTAATGAATGAGCAGTAGCTTAAGTAGCTTTTACTTCGAATGAAACACTTTCGCTAAGTTTTGGTATTGATGACCGCCAAAATAAATGTCAACTGTCAAGTTAAGGTCAACTTCAATCAAATGAGCACAGACAAAGATTGACAGATCGGATGCTGCTGTGTTGCCAGTAACCAACAAAAGAAAAAATATGTACAAGTAATAACTAAAGCAGAATAATTTATCTAAACGTATCCTAGTTTTTTAGTTATCTTGTGTTTTTGGATTGGGACATATTGTGTCCCCGTGGTCGTCAGAGTGTTTGTTAAATAATGGAAAATTGTCATAAGAAAGAAAATTGGACATAAGTTCAGGTTTCCTCACGATATTTTTCCATACCTGTACGTTAAAGGTTTCTAAATATTTATAGAAAGTCTTGCCAGGTTCCCAACCCATACCCGCTCGAGGAAAACATCATTCCTTTTTTTATAGGATAGGGTGCCAAACAAACAGACTAATCACTAAATATTAAGAAATCGAATAGATACTGTGAGTGCTATTCACGTAAGATAGTCATGCTTCGACACAAATGAGCGGACTTGAGCGGGGTGATACCACGATCACACAGAAAACCGCTCTGAAAAGACTTTGAGTTTCGCCATGAAAGTAAGGTTACCGAAGGCCCGAACCCCGCGCCTCCCACACAATATAAAAGGCCAATAACACACTCATAACTCCAATGAGTAAAACTGATTTCTTACTATTAAGTGATCCACTTGCTCGTTTTTCGTCCTATTGCATTAAAAAGTTCATACGTAGTTGAAGTAGTAACTCACCGGCAATCAAAATCGGTGTTGTCAAATATTTCCAAATCTAACTTAGGAAAGTGACTATAAAGGCCATAATGTTGCATATCATTAATCTTGAACTCTTCGACAGGTAACAACCAATAAGGTTGTATGCCTAAATCACGGAGCATTTTCTGTAATAGACAAAAATGAAATATTTAATAGTTCAAAATAATAGTGTTCCTTTACATCAATCCTTTGATGCAAAAATGTCATAATTACACTTTCAGTAAATTTTAATGTGTCGATGTTTCTCAAAAGAAAACGGCCCCCATAGGTATTACATTACAGTTTTCTGTGTTGTGTGATGCTTATGCATTTACAAACCCAAGTATAGGTAGATGCATTACAATAATTTCTAGATCACACAAATAAATAATGTTCCAAGCGGAAATCGACCTCGCGTCACGTTTTACTAAAGTAAAAAGACAAAATGCGCTACTAAAGTTTTTGAAACTAACGACGAACATCAGTAACAGTTATAAACCAATAACTATACAGTCACAAGTCTAAAGTCAAAGAATGTAACTTGGGGATTTTGAAATCTAAAAGCTTGAAATGGTAAGAATAATTACACAAACCTTCATATTTGCTGCTAGAAATTTTCTCCTCAATCTCTCGATCTTGACCAATCGCGGAAGTTCTTTAGGCAAAACAATACTAAGAAATTGCAGTTTAGGTACAAATGTCTCAAATGGAAATTGCTGGAAAGATAACATGTAGTAGTATGTAGGTAGCTAATAAAACTGTAAAGATATATTAATTGATAGGTCACGGTTAAATTATATAGGTATTTTATCAATATTTTTAAAAACAGGTAATATGCCTTTTTCATTTTTCGTCACTCCTTTACCTTTAACCTCCCTACGGCCAATCACATTAACCTCGATTAGAACTACTAGAACTAGAGATAGAATTTTATGTCAAAGGCTAAGTAATACACCTTACCAGCTTTCACCCGCGGCTTTGCACGTGTTAATTATAATAATATGAATCTTCCCCATGAATTGAATCCACTCTATGTATTAAAAAAACCTCATCAAAACCTATTTGAGATCTAAGCATACCTACATTTTATAGTTACTTTATTTTACGTGGTTTATATTAGAAGACCAATCAATGGTATGTATAAGTGAGTTTTAAATGTAGGTACTAACAATGCTCTCATCTTCTCTGTAAGTCGTCCAGCGACCCGGCGGCAGAAGAAGTTTTGCTCTTTGTGGTTTCGGCAAAGAAACCAGCATAGGAGCTAGTCTATCAGTTTTAGCCTGAAAATAAAGCCTCGAGGTTATTTGGTAGGTTGAAATGTAAGGCTACCACGACTTGCAAGTAATCTGATACCTTATTAGTTTCGGCCGCTTCAGCACTTCCTCAAGCCTCAACCAGGATGGAAGGAATCATTGAGTAACACGTATTTTACGAAATACAAGTGTACACTTAAAATTCTGAAGTGTGTTTTGTGTTCTTGTTCGTACGTATACAGTGTAAGTACGCCATTATTAATAGAGCTATTATATAAAATAAATCAGGTGATAGAAAGCAGCCATTTTAAACCCCCGCTTCAAGCCGGAATGCTGGTAGGTAACTTGCGTTTCTCAGCAGCCTCGGTCAGAACAGATACCTACACCTTTTACTTGAGGGGGATAAATCACCCAATGAAATGACTTCTCCCGCCATCAGTGAGGCGGGACGAAGTGTAGGTCTGCCTATGTTCCTGTTCCTACTCCTGCTAATATCTGAAGCCGTGGTAACTCCGTGCGTTTCTCCGTAGCCCTGCTTAGAGTAATTACCTACCTTTTTTTAAGGGGGGAAAATCATCGAATGACTGCTCCCGTCTGGGTGCGGCGGGAGGGAGTGTCAGACTCTTACTGACTAAAAACCACCCCGTTCCTTCTCCTGCGCTTCGAGCCGGAGCCCTGGTAACCCGTTAGGTTCTCCGCTCAGAGTAATAACTTACCTGCAGTATCAATTTCATTCGTTTCTTTGTACAAATATCCTTAGTAGGATCATCTTTAGTCAAATCTGATACAAGTTCAGAATAATAGCCCCTTTGAGGGATAGCATCCCTCGATTTGTTATCATAAACCAAATCATGTTGCTCTATCTTCTTCCTTTTACAATACATTTTTATTTAAAATATATTGAAAATTTAAATTAGACACATTGACGTTACATAAGTGCCTTATGTCAAACGTCAACACGACGGCTAGTTATTTTTTTATCTAGTAGGTAGGTATCAATGATGCCAAAAAGGTACCCTACCTAATTAACAAACTCCTTGGTACTGGAGTACTTTTTTTTAAAGGGCGGAAATCATCGAATTACTTCTCCCGCCTGGGTGAGGCGGGAGGGAGTATCAGACTCTTACTGACTAAAAATCACCCCGTTCCTACTCCTGCACTTCGAGCCGGAGCCCCGGTAACACGTTATGTTCTCCACTGGCATAAAGCCAGTACTCCAGTACTACCTTTAGGTAGGTTTGGTTTAATTGTCTGTGGAACTTACAAAGACTTATATAATAAGTTTGTAATGGGTAAACAATAACAATAACAACAATTTTTTTCGAAGACGTCATTGCGCACGAATTTTTCGCTTTGTGTGAATAGTTATTTAATTTTTCTCTTACTCTTAACTAATAACACATTTATTTGGATAAAGATTAATATTATTATGTCGATACAACTCTAACAAAAATAAATGTTAATAATTTAAATAAATGTTAATAAGCGGTTCTTGTGAGTTATTCTTAAAAGATAGACTTATACTGTCGCGGCCTTTTTTGTAGATCATTTTAAGACAAATAATTCTTTCATACATTTTGTGTATCTTGAACTGTATTCGCAGCACACGCAACGGAAGCCCTCAAAGATGAATAATTTTCCCCGTTTTTTACACATTTATCACGGTTTCTTCACTCCTATTGGTCGTAGCGTAATGATAAATATCCTATAGCCCTCGATAAATGGACTATGCAACACAAAAAGAATTATTCAATTCGAATCAGTAATTTCGGAGATTAGCGCGTTCAAACAAACAAACAAACAAACAAACTCACTTTCCGATTTATAATATTAGTAAGGATAAAAGTATAGATTTCATTCTACCCAATAAGTTTTTAATATTCCTTCTTTTTCTATTTGAATCTATGGATATTTTTCTATGCTCAAAATACGACAACACTTTGGTATGGGAAGCCAAAATTTAAAAAATATTTTACACTAGGGACTCGCCCCGGATTCGCACAGCATATTATACATATAAGCCTTCCTTAAGAATCACTCTATCTATTAAAAAAACCGCATCAATATCCGTTGCGTAGTTTTAAAGATCTAAGCATACATAGGGACAGACAGACGACGGATATCGACTTTGTTTTATACTATGTAGTGATAGTCAAGTGTATTTATATATAGCAAGCGGGAATTTTTTTATGTAAACATAAAACATGGCCGCCGTTATTAGTGATTAGTGACACTGCTGGATTTGAGTCCCTAATAACAAAGATAGTATAGTCACTTACTTTAAGCAAAGTGTACATGCTAGTGATGAACTGAGAAAATTACAAAAAGACAATGATTGGAGCACAAGGTGGAATTCGTATGAGCGACCTTATAAGCACCATTTTATTACAAAACCCAAAAGCTTCACCGATGCTTACCGGTGTTGAATTAGCAATCATAAAGGAAATTATAAATATTTTACGTCCCATCGAAAACATCACCAAAGAGATTTCAGGACAAAACTATGCGACATGCAGTATTATAATACCCATAATTTATTACATGACTCTTTAGTCATGTGCATGGCTATCCATAGCATCTGCCAACACTCATGATCCAAGTGATGGCTCAGAATTTCAAGCAAAAATTTTAATAGAAATAAAAAGACGTTTTCGGCATATTGAAAAGGTCCATATATTGGCAGCGAGTACTATTTTAGATCCTAGATTGAAAAAAAAATTGTTTTACTGATATGCTGTTATGTGCCAATGCTGTAAATTTTATTTCCGATACAATAAACCTAGAAGATATGCAAGCTAAAGCTACGCCTCCTACGACGACGGTTGATGTCAATGTAGCTGAAAATGTCAATGATATTTGGAAATTTCACAACGAAATGGTGGCGCAAGCTGGTGCGAGTAGATCACAAGAAGGATTCCACACATATTTTAAGCAATATTTATCTGAACCTTTATTAGACAGAAAGTCTGATCTAATAAAATATTGGTCAGCAAGAAAAGCCGTTTGGGGAACACTAAGCGATATAGCCCTACGATATATATCAATGGTAGGAACGTC